CGTTCCAGCCTTTGGCTTTAAAAGTTGGTTAAGGTTCCTCCTGGGGTACATGTTCAGGCCTTACAGGGCAAACTTTTTTTTTTTTTAATTAGTGAAACACCGTGAGGTTCAGTTGTAGACTCACAAGTTTTTGTGCTTGGGTTTCATTATACAATGATCAATTACCCATCCCGCCACCAGTGCCCATTTTCCACCGTCACTGATCCCAGTATCCCTCCCTCCTCCCATCCTCCCATCCCACTCTGCCTCTGTGCCAGGGCGCTCCCTTTTGTTCTCTCTCTCCTTTGGGGTGCTGTGGCTTGCAAAAGAGGCGTTGAGTGGCAATCATGTTCGGTCTATAGTCTACTTTCAGCATGCTTCTCCCATCCTGGGAGGATCCTCCCAACACCCTTTACTTGATGCTCCCTTCTCTGTCTGAGCTGTTTTTCCCCTAGCATGTGCGGCTGGCCTCCAAGCTATGGAGTGAACTTCCTGGTACTTATCTCGGCTATTCTTAGGTGTTAATCTCCTATTTTGTTACTTTATGTTTGCCAGATGAATGCAATCTTTCTATGTCTGTCCCTTTCTTTCTGACTCATTTCGCTTAGCATGATACTTTCCATGTAGTACCACTTGTATGTAAATTTCGCGACTTCATCTTTTCTAACAGTTGCATAGTACTCCATTGTGTAGATGTACCAAAGTTTCTTTAACCATTCATCTGTTCTCAGGCACTCAGGTTTTTTCCAGATTCTGGCTGTTGTAAACAGTGCTGCAGTGAACATACAAGTGCAGATGTCACTTCGACTATACTTTTTTGCCTCTCTGGGATATATTCCCAGGAATGGTATTGCTGGGTCAAATGGGAGCTCAATTTCTAATTTTTTGAGAATCATCCATACTTTTTTCCAAAAGGGTTGAAGCAGTCGGCATTCCTACCAGTAGTGGAGGAGGGTCCCTTTCTCGCCACATCCACACCAGCACTTTTGTTCTTTTGGATGTGGGCCAGTCTCTATGGTGTGAGATGATATCTCATTGTTGTTTTGATCTGCATCTCCCCGATGATTAATGATGTAGAGCATTTTCTCATGTGCCTTTTTGCCATTCGGATTTCTTCTTTGAGAAAGTTTCTGTTCATTTCGTTGCCCCATTATGGGGTTGGATGTTTTCTTCTTGTGGATTTCAACCAGCACTTTGTATATCCTTGATATCAACCCCTTGTCGGATGTGTATTGGACGAATATCCTTTCCCATTCTGTAGACTGTCTTTGTGTTTTGGTCATTGTTTCTTTTGAGGTGCAGAAGTTTCTTAGTTTAAGATAGTCACAGGGGAAACATCTACACTGCTCCCTGACTGTGCGGATCTGTATAGCCTATAATTAGCGTCTAGTTCTCAAGTTGGTATCACCTTTTTTTTTTTTTTAAGTGAAGCAAGAGCGGTTTTTATTGAACAGAATTTACTTAAACTTGAGGGGAGAGAAAGAGAGGGAGACGTGTTCTAGAGAGAACGCAGAACGTAGACTTCTCAGGTCGTGATGGGGGGGAAGGGAGGCTTTCAAGAAAGAACACGGACTTAAGAGCAAAGGTCTGTGTTACTGGTTTGAGATAATTTTGTGCCTTAGTCATTGTCTGTTTCTTCTTGGTAAGAATTTTCTTTATTTGTATATAACAGGACTGGGAAGGTGTGGGTGAGGAATGAGAAGTTGCGGGGGGGGGGTGTTTTGTTTTAGGGCTTCATCTGTAAGCCCTGCTACTAAGCAACACTTCCTGCCCCCCCCATCCTCCCCTCTTCCCCCCCTTCCCCCTTTCTTTTTGTTCTGTATATTTGGTTTGGAGGGCTCACTCCAGTGGTACTGGGGCCTGCTCCAAGCTCCATCTTTGGAGGTTTCCAGCACAGTGCTGGGGGACCAGGTGGTGACAGGAATTGGACAGGGGCTCCCGCATGCAAAGCATGTACTACCACCCCTTGGACTCACACACCCAAGCAGGCCCGTTTTCTTTTTCACTCTGCACATATTTGGCATTTGGAGCAGTGGGAGCCCAATCAGAATACACATCTGCTGTCAGTGTTGTTTTCTTGTCTTCTGTCAGGGCTGTGGCTCTCCACTGTGGTCCTCCCCACGAGATAGCTCTTGTGCATTTGTAGGTTTACTGTCGGGAAGGAAAGACACTAAGCCATATGTCTTCTGAAATTTTTGTTTTGATCAAAATCTCTTCACTTCAAATGTGAATTAAATCGTCTTGAGGGGCTGGAGCGATAGCATAGCAGGTAGGGCGTTTTTGCCTCGCATGCAACTGACCCAGGTTCGATTCCCAGCATCCCACATGGTCCCCTGAGCACCACCAAGAGTAATTCCTGAGTGCAGAGCCAGGAGTAACCCCTGTGCCTCGCCGGGTGTGACCCAAAAAGGAGAAAACTGAAAAAAGAAATCATTTTGTTTCTGAGGCCAGAGAAGAGGATACAGCATGGGTCAGGCTCTTGCCTTGCGTGCAGCTGGCCCGGGTTCAATCCCTGGCACTTCACGGGGGCCCCCTGGATCTGTTGGGAGTGATCTCTGAGCGCAGAGCCAGGGGCAGGCCCTGAGCCCCGCTTGGATGCAACCCCCAGGCAAAAACAAAACATCAGTTTGTTCCATTTTTAATAATCACTTGGAAATCTGTCTTGTTGCATAATAATTTTAGAAAGAGTGCCCTTTTTCTGCTGTCACGTTTCCCAGAATCTCATTTTGTTGATGGTCGTTGATAGATGGGTCTTCAGCTTTACCAGGGGTCTTCACTCTCGTGCTATGCACTCTGAGTGATCGTGTCCTGGCCACTCACACACTTCCGTTTCTTAGTTGCTGTTACTGGAAGAGAAATCAAAATGCTTTCTTCCAGTCACTTTGGCAAAATACCTAATTAATTTAGAAATACTTGTAAATTCTGTAGTTTTTCTATGCCTGTAAGTCATATCAGCTACAAAGAAAGTTAATTTTCTTTCTTTCTTTCTTTTTTTTTTTTTTTTTTTTTTTTTTGGCTTTTGGGCTGGAGTGATAGCACAGCGGTAGGGCGTTTGCCTTGCACGCAGCCAACATGGCCGACCCAAGTTTGATTCCTCCGCCCCTCTCGGAGAGCCCGGCAAGCTCCGAGAGTATCTCGCCCGCATGGCAGGGCCTGGCAAGCTCCCCGTGACGTATTCGATATGCCAGACACAGTAACAACAAAGTCTCCAGTGGAGACGTTACTGGGCCCGCTCGAGCAAATCGATGATCAACGGGAGGGCCTTTATTTTTTTGTTTATTTTTGGGTCACCCAGAGATGCTCAGGGGTTCCTCCTGGCTCTGCACTCAGGAATTACTCCTGGCAGTGTTCAGGGACCATATGGGATGCTGGGAATTGAACCCGGGTCGGCAGTGTGCCTGCTATACTATCGCTCCAGCCCCAAGAAAGTTAATTTTCTATCCCCTGATGTTTATTCCAGTGATTTGGTTTACTTATTTTAATGAATTATCTAAAACGTCTAAAATAAAGCGAACAGTCGTTTCTGACTTTGATGTCAGTGTGTTAATTATTTTCCTTGCTGTATGGGAGTTGGAAAAAGGATGTCAGAGCAGAGATAGTACAGCTGGTACGTCGCGTGCCTGAGTGAAGGTTCAATCCCTGATACTCCCCGTGTCTTCCTAAGGCACCCTCCAACCCTCAGCATAGCGAGTGTGGTCCCCCCGCAAAACAAACAGGAGAAAGTGTGTCCTACTATTTTCTTTGCTGCTGTAGGGACCGCTTCAGGCGACCTTGCTGGAGAGGCGGGCCACATGGCCATGCGGGGCACTGAACCCAGGACCAGGCTCATGCCCAGCACCTGCCCACTCGGCTACTGGCCCCCACCTTCCTCTCCCTCAAGGGTCATCTTAAATGGAGCTCAGTCATACATAGTTTACCACCAAACTAACTTTTCTGTTTGCTTTTTCATTTAATTTTTTTTTTGGCATTTATTCTTGAAAGTAGATTGTTCTTACTTTTCCTTCTATATTTAACTTTTTAATGAAGTTTTACTACTAATTTATTTTATCGGTTTTTTAAAATGACGCATATACTTAATTCCTATTTCTCTGGAGTTTCTTTGGTGATTATTTTTTTTCTTTTTCATAAAGTAATAGAAATTCATGTTTGGGTTATTTTTAACCATTAATACAAATGCTGATAGAAAATCACTGTGTAAAATTCCAGATGGAACACATGTTTAAGTCTGTTATTTCGGAATGCTTAAGAAGAATTTTTATATTTTCTTTTCTTTTCTCTTCCCAATTTTATTTTTATAAAGTTGTTCATGATAATTTATTACATTCAATATTCCAACACCAATCCCACAACCATAACACCTTCCCACTACCATTATTCCGAATTTTCCCATCACCACCCAAGCCCGCCCCAAAAGCAGGTCCTAAATAATTTATTTTGTATGGCTTGTTATGAATAATGCATTAAAAATTATCCAAAAAATTTTCCAGAATTTTTATATTTTCTCTTAAATATCCCAGAGAGAATGTGTATGTGTGTGTGTGTGTGTGTGTGTGTGTGTGTGTGTGTGTGTCTGAGAGAGAGAGAGAGAGAGAATGCTGGGCTTTTACTGTTGTTCCTCTGGAAACTCATTTGTTTCATATTTTACATTTCCTTTTGATTCTGCATAATCCTCTATACTTTTCATGAGAAGTCTTAATCCTAAACAATATTTAACAGTCCTAAACAATATTTACAACTTATCCACACTTAAGAGGTGTGGATAAGTTGGAAATATTTTTTACAGTAGCCAGTAGTGTATATAATTATTACTAATACTTGGGGTGTGTGTTTATGAATGGTTAGGAATTTACTGTGGATCTGGGTTTTATCTGTGCTTAATTTGCCTCTTAACTATTTAATTAAAAGTTATGAAAATAACTTATCGCTACTCTAAGCCTTTTAACATAGACTGGGTTCTGAAAATGTTTGATTTATCATGTATTACTATATGACAGCTTATTTATTTCTTTTTTTCCTAACAGTTACATGGGAATTGGTCTCTCTGCCCAAGGTGTGAACATGAATAGACTACCAGGTACACTTGTAATTGAAGTATATTCTTTTTGATTAAAAATTTCAGGTAATAACTATAAATTGTTAAATGGATTAATTTTCTGTTTTTTTTAATCACGCATAAATTCAAAGTGGATGCTAATTTATTTTAATAACTTAGAATGATGCTGCTTGGCAAAATAGAGTATGGACCCTGAATTCTTTGTTGCTTTTGTTTGGTTTCTTTTTTTGGCGTTTTTTAACTTTGAGTACATAGTTATGTCAGGTACATTAAATACTTAGAAATAGATGGCCGATTCTGTTTGCTACCCACACAGCTCTTTCAACCCATTTTCAGTTGTTTAATATTTTGGGAATGTAGGCTGGTACTAAAAATGAACTAAGGAAGGTGTTAATTGAGATAACAGAACTGTTTCCCCAAACCATCAGTTAATCAGAAAGACGTGATTCTTGTATTTTGTCCTCTGATATTTAGTTTCTTAATGTTAAATACTTATTGAAGGTGGAGGAGAGAGAATAGAAATAGAAGGCAAAATTGCCAATATAAAATTTTTCTATATGAGATGTAAAAGTAGCAGAAAAGTATCAGCAGAAAAACCATGCTGAGCCAGGGCACCTACTTGAAATCAGTTGTGTTAACTTGGTCAGACTTTCTGTGTACCATTTTAGTTAAAATTATGCATGTAGAAGGACTTAAAGGAGGTTTTTATTCAAATTTTTTTTTCTTAGAAACAATAGAAAACGCACATGTTCATAAATAGAACAAGTAATTGTGCAAGTCTGCTGTTACGGAAAAATCAAGTGTTCGACTTTGTATTTAGATCACAGCCTTTAAAACTTTCTGTGATTGAATTAGAGCATAATCCACTTCATATTAAATTGAAAAAGTGGGAGTATGTTTTTAGACCAAGCTAAGAGCCAAAATTCCCTTGATGTATTAGCAGATGAATTATTCATGAAAAATAGGCCCTTCTGTTTTTCTTCTCTTAGGAGCCCTCTGTTCAATACATATTTTTAGTGTTTCATATAGTGATTTTATTTTGCTTAATGTTACAGTGTTTTAATAGAGAAAAAACTGTTGTGTAATTGTTGAGAATTGTGAATATGAATTTGGAAGTTTTGCTTTTGCACTCTTTGTCACGCCGTTCTGGATTTTATTGTCATTGATGTACTAGTACGGAGAACCTTACTTTTCTTTGTAAATATACTGGAACTTTCTCTTTAGGCTGGGATAAACATTCATATGGTTACCATGGGGATGATGGACATTCATTTTGTTCTTCTGGAACGGGACAACCATATGGACCAACTTTTACAACTGGTGATGTCATTGGCTGTTGTGTTAACCTAATCAACAATACCTGCTTCTACACCAAGAATGGACATAGTTTAGGTACTAAGATAATGTGCTGCATGAAACTAACCAAGTTTTGTCATTATTACCGTTACAGCGTGGTAGTCATATTTTTTTTGTGATTCTTTATAGATAGATGCCTCTGGAAATGGTTTCTTGTTCTTTCCAGGTGAAAGTTGAGGAAATGGTGAAAATTGTATTCTGTGAAGGCTACTTTGTATCACAGGTATAGGAATAACAGAAATTATTCCCATGCTGATACTTATTTAGACATAGACATACTAAGAGCTTTCATCTTCTTTTATTTTTTTAAAAAATAAAACCCTTCACAGTTAAGATCCAGCTCATTGACTAAGTGCCAAGAAAAAAGGGGTTGTCAGTTTTTAGTATAGGGTCAGGGTTGCAACAACAGGAGGAAAAGTTTACTACTACCAAAGAAGGGCGTTCACATGAAAGAACAAAGAGGGGTGACGATGAGTAGGCTGTGTGAAAGGGAGCTGGATTAAAATAATCAAATGATGGTAACCTTTTTCGAAGAATAAAAGATAGGTGGCCAAGACATAGATCAAAGGGAACGTGAAGAGATCTGTTCTTTGTAAAACTTACAGAAAATGAACATTTTTATGCACTGGTAGCACTTCAAGTATTCAATTTTGTATGATCTCTGTATTCCCCTTTCTTAGAACTTTAAAATGAAAATATGTTTACTGTTTGAACGTCCATGGTAGTCATTTATATCTGGTGAAGTAAAAGTAGAGCTTAAGTAAGCGTAAGAGACAGATACTTGTTTGCTTTTAAAGCTTCAAGAATCAGACTGCATAGGTGAGGTGAGGTAACTGAGCACCAAATCACAAATGTCAGCACCAGTGCAAACACATTACTTAATCTGTAATAATAATTTCAGAAAGCAAACTGCATAAATGCTCTTCTTGCTGTCATTTCACAGAAAATTCTTAAACCATTCTAAATTTTGGGCCCTATTGTTAGTTTTTTAGTGTCTCCACACATGTCCCCAATAAAATTTTTGTCACGTTTGTATTCAGATTAAGACTTTTCCTTCTGATTATTGTTGATTTTGAAGTCCTGTGTTACTTGACATGAAGCTTGTCTCAAGTGCAAAGCATCCTTAAAATCTGATTAGAGTAAGAATGTTACTGAAATTACAGACTTAGCTGTCATTTGATTTTTAAACCCATCTCGTTTCCAAAAGAATATAGTCCCTTGAATTTGTCTGTTGTTGCTCTTCTCATTTAAACTGAAATCGTTTTAGTTGACCTGTTAAGATTATTTAAAATCTTAAATTAGAAACCAAAAAAAAATTCCTATAGATGTGACCTTTGATTCAGACATGCCAAAGAGAAAAAAATTGAAACCAGAATGAATCTTATTTTAAAAATGTTTAATTCTGAGAAGAGATTTTATTTGGGAAGATCTTGTGTGATACACACGTATTTTTCCTATTAAACTTTTACATGTAATTTTTCTAAATGAAGGAAATTGTTGTAATCTTCACTACATATGTGTTCATATATAGTGAATTTATAGCAAAACATATTACTTGATTTTTTTTTCTACTTCAGTTTTCTCATTTTGTCATGTGCCAGACTTGCTTGGAGGTAAAGATGCAGTGAGGAGAGATGATTCCTGTGGAAGTGGGGCCACCTGGTGAGGCCCACGAACTGTCTGTATCGCAGACGCACCTATTCAGTGATGTCTTGCCTCATGCAATAGCTCCACCAGAAACCGTATGGTCTAGAGAGCAGAAAACATTTACAGGAGAAATGTGCATACCACTGGCCTAGATTCTAGCATCAAGGACATAAAACATTCAGTTATTATTTCCTGGTGTTTCCCAAGATGGACACCTTCTACCCTGAAGATGACATGCAGCTTTAGTTTCTGTCTCATGAAGGTTTTCAAAATAGTTCCTTACTCATCACTTAAATTGAGAAGTTGGAGGTGTAATTCAGGTTTTCTTTGTGTAGGAATTTTGAAACCATCCCCATTCCACCCCACCCCCCGGCCCCATTCAGATTTTTCATAAATAGATATTTTATTACTAAACAAGAAATATTTCAGTGTCTAAGTTAATTTGAAGTTTAAAAACTAGTATTTATATTTTTATTTAGAGTGTGTGTGTGTGTGTGTGTGTGTGTGTTCAGGGGGTGGAGGGGAGGAGGGTTGTTGGGATTGAACCTAGGTCAGACAGGCAAATCATGTGCTTTACTGTTGAACCACATCTCCACTCCTTGAATTTGGGCTAACAAGCCCAAAGATAGCAAATTTAACGAACACGTTAAATACCATTTAGTTTTTGGGCTACAACTGGGCCTTGCTCCTACGAGCGTGCAGTTCCAGACAGAGATCAAACCCAGGCCTCTAGCATGTAAAGCATGCTCTGAAGTCTGTAGGTTACATTTTCAAACGCCTCTTGACAAAACATGCGATGAGAATATTTAAAAATCCTTGGTAAAATTTAGTTATGCCATCTTGTTAACGTGGGTATCTTTCAAGTTTTTGGTAAAAGATTTCAGCAGTTACTGATTAAAAAAGGAATTTTTGCCAAAACAATGCAAATTCAAGTAATCTTTAGTGAAACAAGATAGTTTCTATTGACAGAACCCTAGTTGTGAGAGGAAAGAGGAGAGTGCATATTCAGGAGAACCTGGGCTTGAACAAGCCGCAGACTCCAATGTTGTTAGGCGTAGATTTCTTTAAGGAAAGGAATTGACCAGGCTGCTGTTTCATGAAAAATGGTCAGAGGGTAACTGTGGGAAGATTTGACTAAAGTTTGGTTTTTGTGTCATTTTTTTATTTAAGACATTTTTTCCCCCACTAAAGTTGTAAAGCTTCAGTTTCACGTTTTCCTCTTTTTATTTGAAAATTTTATTTCACTTAAGTTGTGTATTTGACCCAGTTACTTTTCTGTTTATTAGAGAAGCCCGATATTCGGAATATTTGGGTATGGTGGGAGGAGACTCCAGATTTGCTCTGCTGTCCTCCTTTTTCTTTCCCTCGTGTGTGTGTGTGTGTGTGTGTGTGTGTGTCTGTCTGTCTGTCTGTCTGTCTGTCTGTCTGCCTGCCTGCCTGCCTGTTTGTCTGTCTGTGTGCACGTGTGCTGGGGATTGACTCTGAACTCCTCGACATGCCTGGCATATGCTCTACTCTTGAGCCACATCCCCAGACCCCAGGTTTTGCTTTTTTTCTTGACAAGCCAACACAAATTTACAAGCTTTTTAAGTCCTAAAAGAGAGTTAGGACTTATATATAAAGCACTAGTTTTAGAGTTTATTTAAGAATACATAGTAACAACTTTGAGTCAGGTTCTTCCCCCCCCCCCCCCTTTTATTAGGCTTTGGAAGGGAGGGGGTCCCTCCTGGCCATTCTGTCTCACATACTGGCTCCAGGATACCATGTGGGGAAGCCTGAGAATGTGGATTTTGCTCCTGCCCTGTGTTGCCAGTCGTCCCCCAGGTCCATTGCCCCTGGGGCCTCTGTGGTGCACCTTGTGGTGCTCGGGGGACCAGGCTCTGTAGCTCCTCGCTGGCTCCTTCCCATAGTTGGGTTTTCTCATGGCATAGCACCGTCTTAAAGCTGTCCCGTTCTCGCATGCAGCTGCCTCTTACAGATCATCCAAGGAAAAGTCCCCCGCATATTTAGATGGCAGTCAGTTCTGCTGAGACAGCAGCTCTACTGTGTTTGTGTGTTTAATACGTATTTGGGTGAAAAGAAGTGAGGTTGACAGGCTCCCCAGTGCTGTTTCTCTCCTGTTACTGAGCTCTGTCTTTAAACAAGAATGAGGTCCTACAGCAATATTTGGCTTATCTAGGATCTTATTTTCTGGTAACTGATTTGTTCACGTATTTGAATGAAGCAAGGTTAAGTTGTCACTTTGGGATGCTAGTATAGTTACTCCACTGATAACTGCCACGGATCAGGTAGAACATGACTATGTTGAAATCACCATCCGGACGTTCATGAGAGATTCTTCACTATATATTTCTTTAAGGAAGCATGAGTTTCCCCCACAGTCCAGTTGTTTTAAGAATGTTCTTTAATGAGAAATTAAAATTTAAAATTTTTTTTAAAGAACAAGTGCTTTTCTGGTTTCTTTCTTTCTTTCTTTCTTTCTTTCTTTCTTTCTTTCTTTCTTTCTTTGTAATAGTCTTTCCTCCTCCCACCCAAATAATTTAAAAACTAAATTTAAAAAGTAAAGGAAGGCACGACTGGAAAAAGCAAGTTGGGTGTTCGTCAAGAGTCAGAGATGGCTATTTTGTAGTCCAATTTTCTTATGTGGTTCCTAAAACTTAAATACCTATAAAATTCTTTTTAAAAGTCCCAGAGACTCTAGAGTGTCCCCAGAAATATAATTGACATATTTCGTACAAAGCTAATGTACCATAGCACTGACCTCCCATTGTTCATCAATTTGCTCGAATGGGCACCAGTAACTGTCTCCATTGTGAGAATTGTTACTGTTTTTGGCAGATAGAATATGCCATGGGGAGCTTGCCAGGCTCTGCCCTGTGGGTGGGATACTCTCAGTAGCTTGCTGGGCTCTCCGAGAGGGACAGAGAAATCAAACCCAGGTCAGCTGTGTGCAAGTCAAACACACTACCTGCTGTACTATCTCTCAGCCCACAAAGTTAATGATATAAAAAATTTTTTTATTTTAACTTTAGGTAGGTACAGTGATTTGCAGTACTGTCAGCTGTAGGGTTTCACACGTCTAATATTCCAACAGCAAACATCTCCCCTTTGCCTCCTCATGATTTTGAGAGGGGACAAATTTATCAGGTCATGATTAGTTTTAATGAAGGGAAATCGCCCTTGACATGTTTGATACCTACATTTTAATTTTTTCCCTTATATGCCTGTTCCTCTTAGTTAGAAATTTATCTTGTTATCATAGTTTGCCTTTAAAAGAACAGCTTTTGATGCTTTTCTTTTTTTCTTCCCCCACAGGTATTGCTTTCACGGATCTACCGGTAAGATGTGATTTCTTTTAAAAACAATTTCATGCTATTTTCACGGGAATTTTGTCGTAGCTCAACCGTAACTCAAAACTACTGAAAGTACACCTTGCAGTTTCATTTATTTGAAACTTTTGCGTTTGGTGTCATCGGACATTTTCAGTATAATTCCATATCGTGACTTTTGTCGCTCCGTATCGTGGGCCACTGTGTGACAAGTTCTGTGCTCGGAATGCAACCCGAGGAAATAAAAGTCTGCCCCCTTGGAGTATTTGCTTTGGGCCACTTAGAGAATAAACAGTTCGTTAAGAATAAGCTAATGCTAACATTTTAAAAGGTTTTAAGTACTTTTATTCTTATTAATTTGGGGGGTTGGGGATCACTCCTGGTAGTGCTGGGAGTGAGGGGGACTTAATGCAGGGCTGGGGATCAAACCCAGGGGGTTTCAATACTCTAAAGAAAAGTAGGGCCGGGATGGAGATGCCTGATGCAGAACAGGGATTGTGCATTGCTTATCTTTGAGCAGGCTTTTGAACTAATGACTTATTTACTGACTGGGTTTTTTTTTTTTTTTTGAAGTGTTTCAGGCAGAGGAAATAGGGGAGGGGTACTAAGGTAAGACCAGATCTGACTTGAAGAGTTTCAGGAAGTGTGATAGACCCAAGAAAAGCAGAGAATAGTAGGAAATGAGTCAGATTCCGAAGCGGGGGAGGGGGATACTGCACTTAGCCTGTGCGGACCATTGTCAGGATGCGAACTCTCTGCTGAGTTTACATTTTTATGCTATTTATGCTATTCCATTTTTATTATTATTATAGTATCATTATTATTATTATTATTATTATTATTATTATTTTTGCTTTTTGGGTCATACCCAGCGATGCACAGGGGTTACTCCTGTCTTTGCACTCAGGAATTACTCCTGGCAGTGCTCAGGAGACCATATGGGATCCTGAGAATTGAACCCGGGTCGGCTGCATGCAAGGCAAATGCCCTACCCGCTGTGCTATCGCTCCAGCCCGCTATTTTGTTTTTAAAGGATCGCTGTGGCTGGGTTGAACCTGTGATGAGGCTGCTGCAGGAGTTTAGTTGTGTGGTGACGGGGACCCACCTGTCTGGAGAAGGCAGAGAGAACTGATTTGAGTCTGGATGCCTTCCTGATGAATCTAAAACTGCCACGTGTAATCAGCATCGTATGCATCAGTAACGGGGAGTAACCCACATGTCTGTGATCACTGTCACTGTCCTCCCGTTGTTCATCGATTTGCTCGAGCGGGCCCAGTAACATCTCCATTGTGACACTTGTTACTGTGTTTGACCTATCGAATACACCACAGAGAGCTCGCCAGGCTCTGCCGTGTGGGCGAGATACTCTCAGTAGCTTGCCGGGCTCTCCGAGAGGGGTGGAGGAATCGAACCTGGGTCCGCCAAGTGCAAGGCAAATGCCCCACCCGCTGTGCTGTCGCTCCAGCCCACACGTCTGTTATCCTTTAGATTTGAGGGTGGGACTTTCCTGGCAGTGTCCACGGGAACCTGTGGAAGTAGGGATCGTATCCCAGGCTCCTACTCATGAAACACATGCTTCACCCCTTGGAGCTGTCTCCCTGGCTCCGTCACTTAGAATTGGTGTTTACACTTGCTGCAGGATCTCTCGTAGATTATGCCAGCGGATTTCTTAAGTCACTGTCACTTGTTTCGTATCTGAAAATGAGGTGGGCAGTATCTGTTGGTTCATGTATTGCCTAAGCTGCATCTTCAGAGTCCAGGCTTTCGTACAACATTGAAGGAGGGGCCGGGGGGGTGGTTGGAGGGGAGGCTTAGAATCAGGTCCAGAGCGACCACTGGGGGACTCGGTCTGACCTTGAGGGCCTGACGGCTTGATGTTGACTGAAGTGTTGCTGAATCTGCTGGTGGTGGGAAACATGGGGCTGAGCCTGCTGGTGCCAGGGACCCACAGGGTTACGCCAGCACTACTTTGGGTGCACCAGGGCCCTGGTGGGGGGTAGGGTGGGCTCGGCGGTGCCAGGGAATGAATCAGTTCCTAGCACATGCAAGGCATGTGCTCCAGCCATTTGAATTATCACTCTGGTCTCTTTAAGCTAGTTTTTATTTATTTATTTATTTATTAAAAATTTTTTTTTAATAGTGAGACATCATGAGGTACAGTTGCAGACTTATGCATTTTTGTGCTTGGGTTTCAGTTATATAATGATCAAATACCATCCCTCCACTTAAGCCAGTTTTTAAAGGCTTGATACATATATATAGTTTTACACATGATCGAAACAGGTTTTTCCTAGGAACCATTCCCCCACAGTCCAGGAAGGTCTTGTGGTATTGAGACTCTCACCAGGCAGGTGCTCCCACCATTTAGGCCATTTGTAAGCCCCAAGAACTTTTCCCAAGAATTCTTCATTGTTTCTCTGACAGTTTCTTAGGAGTTTCTGATCCTATGGCATGAATTTTGGTACTTCCACTTTTTTACGATTTTGGGTTTTGCTGGGGCCACACCCAGGGGTGCTCAGGGATGACTTCCCGCAAGGCTCCATGTTGGGGGGGTCATACATGGTGCTGGGGGCGGGGGTCAAACCCATATCAGCCCCGTACAGAACAAGTGCCTGCCCAGTTTACTGCCGCGCCAAGCGCTGTCATCTTAATATCACCAGAAGGTACTCAACAGAGGTTTTGGCGAATAATCCAAGTTTGATGCCCCTTTCTCAATCGTTTAGAAGTAGTTTATTGGCTTCATGGTTGTCTCAGGGGTTTCAGTTATTCAGCGGATACCACAGAAAAAACAAACCCTCCAAATTTTGAGTGAGTTTATTCTTTCGTGAATTTTTCTACCTGTTTAGACAGAGACTCTGCATTGTGACAGGTGCCTGGCAAGATGTGAGATGCATGGTTGTAGGATGCATTTCATTCTCAGATTATGTTTTGAGAAAGCTAATGGGATGCTTTATGGCAGAGAATAATCACTCAAAATCTACAGATTGTTACCATTCCTACAGAAAATCCTGGAAAGTATACAGAAGAAATCAAAGTTAAAATAAAAATGTTTTCTTAAAAAACAACTTTGCTAAGCCAAGGAAGTTTTGAGCCGGCACATCAAAATCGCTCACTAAAAAAGCATTATGTAATAATCAGTGATGGGAAGTTTGTGTGTCTCCTTGTCACTGTCACTGTTCTCCCGTTGTTCATCGATTTGCTCGAGCGGGCCCAGTAACATCTCCATCATGAGACTTTGTTGTTACTGTGTTTGGCATATCGAATACGTCACATCACAGGTAGCTTGCCAGGCTCTGCCGTGCGGGCGAGATACTCTCGGTAGCTTGCCAGGCTCTCCGAGAGGGGCAGAGGAAGTGTGTCTCCTTATAAGATACATATATGTTCTTAGAATTTTATGTTATATAAAATACAAAAGTAATTTTACAGATGCACTATAAAAGCTCAGTGAAGAAAAAACAAGAGTTTAAAAAAAAATCAACTTGAACACCACAAGAACTTTTTAATGGATTTAGTATGAACGTGTGAGAAAGTGGATCTGACATCAAGGATCTTAGGAATCGAAAGAATTAAGATGCCATTTTCTCGTAAGGAAAGGCATGTTTCGTGGGTGACATGGCACTAAGAGAAAGAAGTTTAGTCCTGGATAGGTTTAACAGCCTTCTCAAGCATGAAGTTAGCTCTACAGACCTTCAGTTCACAATGGTGATCAGGGCTGGAGATTAAAATGTGGGAGTTACTGGCATTTTGGTGTTTCAAGTTGGAAGACTGGTGAATTCAACACAAAAGAGAAAGAGAAATGGAACCGAGGACTGAACTCATCTTCTCAACTTTGAGGCTTATCATGTTTGCAGGAAGAGAAGAAGAATCTAAAAAGAAAATTTAAGACATCGCTTAAATGGGAGGAAAATCAAGAGTTGTGTTCTCAAAAAACAAGAACACATCTCAAGAAGCAGCTAATCAACTTGGAAAATATATATTAAACATCTGTCTACATCTATCTATAAACAAAATTTCCTTTTTGCTTTTTTTAATTGTAGTTGTATTAATTATTGTAGTCTGTGCTTTGATTAGTGTGGTGTATAATATCATTTAGGACATTCTTTTTTAATGTGTCATTATCAATCATGTGGTAGGACATACCTCAGCATTTTTGTTTTCTGTATATATTGGATCTGGTTCAATTCTGAAAAGTGATATTGATTGCTTTGTCAGTTTTAATAGCTTTTGTCCATTTTTTTAAAAAGTCACTTATTTATTTTTTTTGGTGGGGGGGGTTCCACTCCCGGCGGTGCTCAGGGGTTACTCCTGGCTCTCCACTCAGGAATTACTCCTAGCAGTTCTTGAGCGACCATATGGGATGCCGGGGATTGAACCCAGATCAGCTATACGCAAGGAAAGCACCTTACCTGCTGGATTATATTCTCTCTGGCCCCATTGCTCATTTCTTACAAGTCTTCATTAGTTTACATTTCTGTATACAGTGGATAAGAGGACTTCTTTCCTCAGCCTTTAGACACATTTAATAATCTCAGTCTTTGAAATCTAGATTTGATGTACAAAAGTTTTGCTTTAATTTGCATGTGTGTGTGTGTGTGTGTGTGTGTGTGTGTGTGTGAGTGAGTGACCATATCTGGTGATGCTTCAGGTTGTGCACTAAAGAATTACTCCTTATGGTGCTTGGGGACCACAACGTACTGCCATGTATCAAACCCGGGCTGGCCGGGTGCAAGGCAAGGCCCTATATTGCTGTACTTTCAGCCTCAAATTTGCTTTTTTTTTTTTTTTTTTTTTGCTTATGTGTGAGCTTTTTTCTGTTACTTATTTAACATTTATGACATGTTTCGTCACAGGGCACAGCTTTATCTTAGTACTTTTATGATGTACGTTGATTTATTTTTCTGAATTGTAACTAAAGTTTAGGTTAGAAGACAATTTCAAAAACATCTCAGTTTGGAGAAGGCTAAATATCAGACTTATAGACTGCTTAATGAACAGGATTGCCTTTTTCTTTATCACTATCTTGATATTTAATAAAGTCTGACTTTTCTAATATCTTAATGCTGTAAGGAGTGTAAGTGACGGGAATTCTGTGCTAAAAATAAAGATGTGAGTTATATCTTTTAATGGGTGATTTTCTCTGACTCGGACTTTGTAGGCCTCAGTTTTATCATCGGTGAAGTGAGAAATGTTTAACTTTTAGGAATATATTCCTATTGTTGATTACTAAGAATCACTACCTCCCATGAGATATGAATAATCAAAGCAAATAAACTATAGCAAAAGTAACCGAGATTGGAAAATGCAGTGTTTGCTAGCAGATGACAAGTGGGGCCTGAGCAGCAGTCAGGGTCATTCTGGTCATGGGGTGGCTGGACACTTTGGGGGTGGGCACGCTGCGCTGTGAAGTGACGCACCCCAAATTTGTACATTATGGGGAAATCAATAAATTTCAATAAATGTAGAAAACAGTACCTTTGGGTGTTTGGTATTACTGTGTATTTCCTTACTCAAACATGACAATATTTCTTGGTATTTAGTCACGGCACTTGTTTCTTTATGATTTTTGGTTGATTCAGGAGTTGGTTTTGAATACAGTCACTCGGGTTTTCCTGTGACAATCTGGCAAGCTCCCCGTGACGTATTCGATATGCCAGACACAGTAACAACAAAGTCTCCAATGGAGACGTTACTGGGCCCGCTCGAGCAAATCGATGATCAATGGGAGGGCCTTTTATTTATACATACAAATAATCTTTATCTGATTTGGTACTGAAAATACTTGTGAACACCCTTAAAGTATAGACATAAACCGTGGATGAAGATGAACTAGGATTTGGTGTCAGAGGAAGAAAAATTAAAAATAGATCTGGTTTAGCTAACACCTGTCCAGGAGGGTTAGCGGATTCATTTACCCTTACTCCTTAAGTTCTACTTTTTAGTTATCCCAGTGCTGGTAATTTCTAGGAAAATTTTTTTCTAGAACAAGATGATCAGCAGAAACTTGCTCACAGATGTTTTGTTGTGGTTTGTTTTTGGTCGACACCGGATGATGCGGAGGGTTTACTCCTAGCCTAGCTCTGTGCTCAGGGATCACTCCTGGTGTATGGAACCTGGGAGGGGCCACATGTAAGGGCCCTTACCTGCTGTACTGTTGCTTCCGCCGGCATCCATGTAGTTTGACTTAGATTAATTTATGTTCCCTCGGTGTATTAAAAACACACCAGAGGGGTTGGAGCAATAGCACAGCGGGTAGGGCGGCGTTTGCCTTGCACGGGGACAACCCGGGTTCGATTCCCCAGCATCCCATATGGTCCCCCGAGCACCTCCAGGGGTAATTCCTGAGTTGCAGAGCCAGGAGTAACCCCTGTGCATCGCCGGGTGTGACCCAAAAAAAGCAAAAATAAAAAATGAAAACACAAATAGTGTCCCATTTTCCCACTCGTAATCATACATATTTCATGGAGAGCTTTTTTTTTTGGGTGGGGGGGTCTGTTTGGCTTTTCTTTGGGTTAGGGGGTGGGGGGGGGGCGGGGAATGCCTGGCAGTGCTCAGGGCTTGCTCCCGGCTCCGTGCCCGGGCATCTGCTCGGTGAGGCTCAGGGGGACCATCGAAGCGTCCAGCTGTGGCCGCTTGCTTGGACCGTCCTGGAGACGGAGATGTTTCCAGCCCTGGTGGAGGCGGGAGGGGGGGGGTGGGGAGGGCTTGGCGAGGCCCCCGGCGGGCCAGGCCTGCGCGGGCGAGGCTGCGCCGCCCCCCGCGGCCGGCAGAGGGCGCTGCGGTGGGCGTGGCCGGCCGCGGCCATTTGGCGGCGTCGGCGGTGTGCGGGGACCATGGTACGGCGCAGCTCCCGGCCCGGCGGCGCTGGACCGCGGCCCTTCTCGTTCGGGTTTCGATTCGGAGGGTCCCGTTTGTGCGGGGGGCGGTGGGGGGTCGGTGGGGGGAGGCAGAGCGGGGCGCGGCGCGGGGTGCGTCCTGGGGGCCTGTGTGGTGCCGGGGATCGAACCCTTCCCGGGGCGGCCGCGCTAACAGCCAGGGCGGGACCCAGCTGCGCGGGACCCCCCCCCCCCCCACCGAGGCCCGGCAGGAGGGTCCCGACGCCCACCACCACAGGTCTGCCCAGGACCGGGCCCGCGGGTCCCGGGGAGGGCGCTGGCCGTGCACGCGACCGGCCGGGGTCTGAGCGGTGGCATCCCATAGGGCCCCCCCCCCCCCAGCACTGGGAGCGACCCGGGAGCGACCCCCGAGCTCCCCCGGGAGCGACCCCTGAGCACCCCTTCCCCAGAGCGACCCCCGAGTTCCCCTGGGAGCGACCCCCGAGTACCCCTCCCCGGGAGTGATCCCCGAGCTACCCTGGGAGCGATCCCCGACCACCCCTCCCCTGGTGTGATTCCCGAGCCCCCATCCCCGGGAGCGACCCCCGAGCACCTCTCCCCGGGAGTGATCCCCGAGCACTTCTCCCCGGGAGTGGTCCCCGAGCACCCCCCCCCCCCGGGAGTGATCCCCGAGCACCCCTCCCCTGGAGCGACTCTCGAGTTCCCCTGGGAGCGACCCCCCCCCCGGGAGTGATCCCCGAGCTACCCTGGGAGCGACCCCCAAGCACCCCTCCCTGGGAGTGACCCCCGAGCCCCCCCTCCCTTCCCCGGAGTGACCACAAGCACCCCAGAGTGATTTCCGAGCACCAGCGGGAGTGGTCCCCAACCATCGCCGGAAGTGCTCCCTGAGCATCACTATGCTCCCTTCCCAGCCTCCAAAGCCAGGGAGAGAGAAAGCCAGTAGGGCACTAAAGCCAGTAGGGCACTTGGGTTAAAGCAAACCAACGTGGGCCTGGTCTCCAGCAGCTCAGGCGGTTCCTTAGAACCACCCGGTATAATATCTGCGGCTTACCCCCCCCCCCCCCAATGTTTATAAACCATCCCTTTAAAAAGGCACCCGCAAATGTGAAGTAGAGTTTTAAAACTTAAATAGACCAGTTGGGAATGTATGTCCATAGTAACCTCCTTTGTGCATGCAGTTTCTAGAGATGTCGGGTGCAATAATCCCACAAGGGTAAAGCAAGTTAAGAATTTATACTGAATCACTGTAACTATTACATGACTTTGTTGTTGTTGCTTTTTGGGTCACAGCCAGCGATGCACAGGGGTTCTTCCTGGCTCATGCACTCAGGAATTACTCCTGGCAGTGCTTGGGCGACCATATGGGATGCTGGGAATCGAACCCGGGTCAGCCGCGTGCAAGGCAAACGCCCTACCCGCTGTGCTATCGCTCCAGCCCCTATATGACATTTTCTTAACAGCAGGAGTTGTGTTAGAATTTTGCTGTCCCAGGATCTCTGAGGAAAATGTAAGGAATTTTATTGAAACTCAAAATGCTTCATGGTGATGATGTTCACACGAAGTGCTGGTTTTCACGACTGTATTTTGGGTCATTCGCTGTGTCTTCCTCTCCCAAGTTTTTGGTTGAGATCTTAACGTAGTCGTGGAGCAAACTTGTGGTTGTTACAGGTGGCATCTAAAAGGATCAATCAGTCTTGAGCATACAAGGGTCCATGTGTTGTGATTGTGTTCTCTTACAGCCCAATCTATATCCCACTGTGGGGCTTCAGACACCAGGAGAAGTGGTGGATGCCAATTTTGGGCAGCATCCTTTCGTGTTTGATATAGAGGACTACATGCGAGAGTGGAGAACCAAAATCCAGGCACAGATAGACCGTTTCCCTATCGGAGATCGAGAAGGAGAATGGCAAACCATGATACAGAAGTGAGTGAAGAACTGGGAATTGACCTTATTCAAAACTATATTTTAAAAATTTGTGCGTGCGCGCGTGCACACGTGTCTGTGTGTGTGTATGTGTATGTGTGTGGTGTGTGGGGGATTGAATCCAGTGCAGCGTGTGGGAGACAGGGCAAGCACTCGGACTTCCCTGCTCCCTACAAAAGTTCTTTTCTTATAAAAGTTTTAGTCAAAACTTTGCTGCAGACTTTTTATCTCATTTATATCCTAATAATTTTAATGTATTGCCTGTTAAATTTCAGTCTCTAGAAATGTAATGTACTTTATTTAAACAGTTAAAAGTAATGTGTAATTGGTGACACACATATAGAACTGTCTTTTAGTTTTATAGCCAGGCATTTATATCTAGTGGAGAAATACATTGATCCTAGATTGCGCAGCCTATGTTAATTTCTCTTTTTGGTAGTGGGGTAGCGCAGTACCATCCAGCATTGGTCAGGACTACTCTGGGTTCTGTGCTCAAGAATCACTCCTGGCAGTGCTCAAGGGACCATATGTGGTGCCAGGGATCAGACCAGCAGGGATGGCAGCATGTTAAGTAAGCGCCTGGACCCCGGTGCTGTCTCCGGCCCTCTCTAGCTGTAATGCAAGAAAATAGCAAAAATACAGAGACATCAATATAGCAAATAGCTTAAACTTCTAACTTTATAAGAATATAATTTTACATAGTAGGCAATTTCTGTGTAATTTATATTTAAATATAAGATAGATTTCAGTGATATAAGTTTACTGAACTACAAATTTAATAAAACTCACATATATTTTAGGAACAATAATGAGTCAGTGATAGGATGATTCTGAAAACATATTTTTCCCTTCCCGTTGTTGTTACCTGGTTTTACAGAGATCTAAACTAGGTTGATGTTCAGGGGCCACATTCCTTTAATGCTCTGAAATGGTTTCTTGTGAGCATCGTGGGTGGCTAATAGCAGGGAAGGCAGCATTTCCCGCCAGGATGCCGTCTAAAAATCCTTCTCAACCCCTTTTCTGCCCCGCAGCCTCCCACCATCTCCTAACAGGCCCTTAATACTGAATATTTGGGCTAATGTTCCAGCAGTAATTCTATGTTCTGTGGGTAGATGGGAATATGTGTATTGACCACTTGGTGGCTTTTCAAAGAAACATCCTTGTTTTTTAAATAATAAAGAATGCTGATTGATTTTATTTAAAGACTGATGAATCATCCTCATAAACTTTACTCCAGAAGATTTTTCTCTTTGGGTTCACCTCAGGATTGTGTTTACAGCTTTGTGATATCATCTCATATGACTGGAAAAAAAGGGGGTGGGGGTTGTATACATAGGGTGAATCTGTAATTTTTTAAATTGATTTTTTGTTTGGGGGCCATACCCAGCAGGGCTCAGGATTCACTCCTGGCTCTGTGCTCAGGAGTCATTTATGGTGCAAGGCAAGCGCCCTATCTGCTGTATTGTCTCTCTGGCCCTTGAATCTGTTATTTTTAAGTTGTTTGATTTTACAGAAGACCAGTACTTTAGTGGGACAAGTCACATAATAAAGATGAAACGTTTTGTGGTTAGTAGGATTGCATATAAGAAAAAATAATAGCAAAGGACTGACAGGTATTTGGATACTAGGAAGAAATTAAGGGGTTTTTTTTTCTTTTTTTTCTTTTTTCTTTTCGGATCACACCTGGCGATGCTCAGGGGGTACTCCTGGCTCTGCAGTCAGGAATTACTCCTGGTGGTGCTCGAGGGACTGTATGGGATGCCAGGGATCGAACTGGGGTCGGCCGCATGCAAGGCAAACGCTCTACCTGCTATTCTGCGGCCCCGAAACATTTTTTTATCCTTGCTTCTCTACTAGTCGTTATTTATAGAAGAAACTACTTCAACAGGTGTATTTCCATTCCTTCTCAGTATTCTTTCTGGTCTCTTTTAATTGTTTTCCGTAAGGTTTTATTTTTCATCTGTATGGTACACTTTATAAAACAGTAGTCTCAGGATAGCATTTGCCATTACCGCTTTGGAAATACAACATGTAAAGATCAAAGTTGAGTCCTAATTATTTCAAGGGAACAAGTTGTTTTCTGGTTAGTACACGTAGACTTTGTTTATGTCGATTCTAGTATGAACTTTGTGTTCCCACGACTAAAAGTTGTGCTCTCTCCTTTTCCTTTAAGAATGGTTTCATCTTACTTAGTCCATCACGGGTACTGTGCCACAGCAGAGGCCTTTGCCAGATCTACAGACCAGACTGTTCTAGAAGAATTAGCTTCCATTAAGAATAGACAAAGTAAGGATCTTGTGCATGCTCATGCTTGTTTTCAGATGATAGATTTTAGGAATATTTTTTTTAATAATAAAAAAAGCATTTATTTCAAGTTCGTATCTCTGAAATCTTTAATGACATTTAAGATCACCTTTTTAAAAATAAGCATAGGACTGTGTTAGTACTGGATGTAGATGACAAAATTTTGAGAAAAATTTTCTCACGTAATAATGCTTTTTTTCTTTTTTTCTTAAAAATGTCCTGAACTTTCAGGAAATTAGGATGCAGTACAATGTGGTTGTTTGTTTTTTTTTAAATAGTAGTTTCATGAATGAATTAATGGAGAGAATATGCAAAATTTAAATATTTTTGTTAAATTATAGCTGAGTTTAAAATAGTTTTTGATCTTAAATATTTATTGCTTATAGCGAGCATTTAGTTCATAAAATCTGTGCAGACAAGAGCAAATCAGCATTATAATTGTCCCAGAGTTAACCTCATCCATCAGGAAAGGTAAAACTTTGATGAGAATCAAGAGAGAAAAAAAATACAAACCATGATGGATGAGAATGATTTTTTGGGGGTCACACCCGGCAATGCTCAGAGGTTACTCCTGGCTTTGCACTCAGGAATTACTCCTGGCAGTGTTCAGGGGACCATATGGGATGCTGGAAATTGAACCCGGGTCAGCCGCGTGCAAGGCAAACGCCCTACCCGCTGTGCTAACACTTCAGCCCCGAGAATGATTTTTTTTTTTTATATGCCACAGTCCGGTAATATGCTGTTGTGTTGGAACTGATTTTATGCTTTGTGTTAGTCACTACATTATAAGCACCAGTGAGAAAAAAGTGATCACTTATTTGGTACCCTCATTTAATAAATATCTGACATCAGGATCAGAAAACTTGGTGTCTCTTGAATCTATATCATACTTTTAAAGCCTAGTATTCTCTTAACAGTGAACCAAAAAATGATCATGTTTGGCAAGATAGTTTGAATATTATTTGTGATATTTATAGTCTTATTTTAAACCAGTTTATTAAGATTTGGTTGACATTTTAGTGTAATCTAATAGCTACCTCTACAAACATGATAGGTTTGGAGATAAGTGTCTGTGAAATTGTTATCACAGTCTGCCATAAACAAATCCCTGTTTTTATTGTTAGCATTTTAAATACTCCATTGTTGCCTAACAGATGTCTTTTCTAAATTATGCATATGTTATTTTGTGATTTTTTTAAAAAATAATGTTTTATGGAATAGTTTTTATATTTTTAATTTGCAACTTTGCTTAATTGCCCAAAAAAACTATTTTTAGAAGGGATAATTATAATTAAAGATATTTTGTTAACACTTTGGAGCATCCACTAATTTTATGTTCTGCTCTTTAAAAATTAATCCTTTGCTTTTTTTTAGGAATTCAAAAGTTGGTTCTAGCAGGAAGAATGGGAGAAGCCATTGAAACAACACAACAGTTATATCCAAGTTTACTTGAAAGAAATCCTAATCTCCTTTTCACATTAAAGTGAGTTTGTATAATAAGGTACATTTATTATAGATTTATGTTATATATAGCCAAAATAGTTTCTGTTTTACTAGTTTTACTTTTGACGTGACTTATTTCAACTATTTGGCTTATTCAAATACATAAAAGTAACAACTATTAACACTTGTATTGAATCCTATAATTAGAAGTTATGTGTTTGCTCCTGAGTCAGTCTGACTATATGTTCAAAATGGGAAAATCTTAGATGAGTATCCGTTTTCCTCTGCAAATTACCTCATAGTAAGTCTTTCAGACTTCTTAAAATTTCTGTAAAACGTACATAATGTGAGAGCTACATGTATATTTGTACATGTGCAGTTCTGTAGTATTAAGTATATTCACTTTGTTCTGCAGCCATACCAACCCTTCTTCTGTAGGTGTTTTTCATTACCCAAAACCGAAACTGTACCCATTAAACACTTTCTATTCCTCCCATTTTCTTGCTCCTGAAAACCTCCATTTTTGATTCTAGGTCACTCCTATTAATGAAGTCATAAAGTACGTTTTGTTTAACTTTCTTGACTCAGCATAGCGTCCTCTCATGGCCCATGCCACCCTTTTCTTCCTTTCCAAGATTGACTAGTATTCAGTCACGTTTTGTTGATCATCTGTCTGTGGACATTTGAGTTGCTTCCACTTTGATTTGTTGAGAATAATGTTGAAATGAATGTGGCTGTTTGAATCCTGACTCAAATTTCTGTTTCATCCTGGCTTAAGATTTCAGTTTCGTAATAAACACCAGAAACTTTTAGTAAACCAGAACATTGGAATTGTTTTTACTTTAGAGTCAAAGTTTAAATGTGACCCAGGTGGGTCATGAAGTTGCAAGTGGAATTGAGGATGGAGAAAGGATGGGGAGCAACGTTCTTCCTTTGCATATTACACACACACACACACACACACACACACACACACACACACACACACCACACACAGAGTGCACAAGCACACACGCACATCATGATCTTATGTACTGTTTGATTTTTTTTAATCGATTGCAGATATTGTTTGGATTAAAATTTAGCTTGAACAATTGAAGTCCATTTCTGTTACAGCTACAGTTAGATTTTCGTGGTGATAGGTCTTCTGCATTGTACTCTGATTTTTCTGAAAATTTAGAATTTTATTCTAGGAACAGTATACAAGGCCACATTTAATTTTCTTTTTTTTTTAAGTTGTTTTTTAGGGGAGTGGGAGTGGGGGGAGGTCATAGCCTGCAATGCTCAGGGGTTACTCCTGGCTCTGTAGTCAGGAAGGAATCATTCCTGGTGGTGCTGGGGGAACCATATGGGATGCTGGAGACTGAACCCAGGTTGTGGCCGTGTGCAAGGCAAGCGCCCTATCCACTCTACTCTCTCTCTGGCCCCATATTTAATATCTTTAGCATGCTTAATATAAAATTTATTGATAAATACAAGTTGTCAAAATATTTTCAGATATTTGCAATTACTGTGTAAGGTAACAGCCACTTAAAGCTTACATTTTTCTGTTCTTTTTTAGAGTACGTCAGTTTATAGAAATGGTGAATGGTACAGATAGTGAAGTACGATGTTTGGGAGGCCGAAGTCCAAAATCTCAAGACAGTTATCCTGTTAGTCCTCGACCTTTTAGTAGTCCAAGTATGAGCCCCAGCCATGGAATGAATATCCATAATTTAGCATCAGGCAAAGGAAATACTGCACATTTTTCCGGTGAGATTCAGTATTACATTATCTTATCTTTCCTTCTTTAACAACAGCTAAATTTCTAAAATTCTAGACTTTTTTTTTTTTGGTAGTTGTTGGACACATCTGTATACTTGATCTCAAGATGTTTTCGTTTCCAAGCATGTGTTTATTTTCAGACAAAAGTCATAATTAAATCGGGATACCCCAAATGTAAAATAATAATCAGAAATCATTGTTGCAATTCCAGGAAGAAGGCAAATCTTAAAAAGAAAAGGCCAGCATGGCCAGACCCTGTGGCAGGACGGGGTGGGGGGCGGGCCTTGGGTCCCTGGGAGGTGATGATAGCTCGTGAGGAGTGAGCAAAGGCCATAGTAAATCAAATGTTACGAGGGGTGATAATTAAGGTTCATGCGTATCTTTATGTCCTTCCAAAGAAGGGATCCACGTGTGTACAGTTTAAGTGGCCCGTTGACCCTCCAGTGGTCCCCATTTCATTCATATAGGAGTGGGTGGGATTCCGTAGCCGAGGCGAGGGGGTCCCTGCGCGCTCATGATGCTGGGGCCACAGGGCCACTTGGGTCATCTTTGGGAGCCTTGTGCTGCTGGAGGTTTAGCCTGGGGCCTCCTGCCCGCTGGCCGGGTGGTGCTGTGACCGTATGTGTTCTCGGCCCCAGGTTGTGTAATACAAAATCAGAGCGAGTACCTTATCGATGACCTAATAATAACTTCACACGCTTCTTATTCATCTTCTCCCTCTCCCTCCCCCCCACACACAGGTTTTGAAAGTTGTAGTAATGGTGTAATATCAAACAAAGCACATCAATCATATTGTCACAGTAAACACCAGTCATCTAATTTGAATGTACCAGAACTGAACAGTATAAATATGTCAAGATCACAGCAGATTAATAACTTCACCAGGTAAGTGCTTTCCCTAGCTTTTGCGTTACTGTAAGCAACCTAATTATAAGTCTGTCACAATTTGTGTAATTTTGAAAAATGTGACTTACCATTTTGTTCCTATACCCCTAGATAATAAGAATAGGTGGGGGTGAAGTTCTTCCGAGCGTTTCCATTTTCTGAGGCATATGTCAGCTTCTTGTTGCTTCTTCCTCTGTGCGCCCTATTTACCGGGGTTTTGAGGTCCAAACCAAGACTCAGCTTGCTTATCTTCCTGCAGTAGATTTCTACAGATAGTGACAAATATCATTTATTATGTTTCCAAGCTAAGTGACAAGAGCATTTAAATGCTGGTTAATATGTATACACCCAGTTTCTCTTGGAAAGGATGTAACTTTTAGGTGTAATGTACAAAAGTTGCCTTTTCAGTTCCAAACACTTAAGTTTAGAGTGAGTCTCCATCTCTAAGTAACTTGCTCCTAACAAATAGTTTGTCATTTGGTGAACATGTATGTAGCATGCAAGTAGTATCGAGGACCTTGTCAAACAGTGCATCATCTCTGGTGAGCTCTGGGAAAAGATAGCTATACCAGAGGATGGTGATTCTTGAAGTACCCAGGAATAATACTCATGAAATGCAAATCGTTTGAATTGATACCAGCGGAGGATAGTGAATTTCTTAGGAATTCAACTAGTCCCAGTTTTATAGCATCTAAATCTCAGTTTGGTTCATAACCAGTGAAATCATAGCCTCTTTTCTTTCCATAGAAGTTGTGAATAGGGACCGAGAAGTAGTCCAGCAGGTAGGGCGTTTGCCTTGCACGCTGCCAACCCAGTTTCAATCCCCAGCATTCTATTCTGGTCCCCTAGAGCACCACCAGGAGGAACTCCTGAGTGCAGAGCCAGGAAGAACCCCTGAGCATCACCTAATGTGACCTAAAAAGAAAAAAAAATAGTTGTGGATAAATTTTAAATCTGTTTGATGTTGGATTGGTCATAAAACATGATTTGGTAGGTCACACTGCGTTTTGAGGGTATCGTTGGTGCAGCAGTTTCTTACTCGAGGAGAGAGAATCTTAATCTTGTCAGATGTAATCTAGTGGAAATGAAATTCTGAAGCAAGGAGTCTTACATACAAATCTATATTCACAAATTTGGAGATAATCGGAATGTTCAGGTTATCTTTCACAAGTCAGCAAGTTTTCTGAATGGCATTACACGGTACAGGTGATTAAAAGGCCTGCACAAGTGTTGTGAGATATGGACAGTAGATGTATCTCCTGCTGTGGAGGTCGAAGTAGTGATGATGCCCTAGAGAAGCAGGGTAGCAGATTGTACAAGCTGCTGTTTCCAACAGTTTAGACAAGCTTTTCGAACTTGATGCAGTGTATTACAGGAGTACTTCACTGTTGAAAAGGGTTCTGCCATTGCTCGAGGGTAGGACTGCAGTTGTGGGTTTTCTCTTTAAATACTCTTCTCAGGCCAGGAAATTGCTAAAGACTTTTCTCCTACCTGACTGAGTTCAGGGAAGCAAGCTGAAGGGCAGGGGTGATGACACCGCATCCTGCTCAGAGTGCAGGCTGGAGGAGAAGGAAGGAACCTGAAACAGCCTGAAATTGTTCAGTGGCAGCAGTTATTTTGTATATGGTAATGGCTTTCCCTTCAAGGGTATTGTAGGCAAACACGGTAGGTATTAACTGTTACAACCATTTTACAGATGTAAAGCTGACTATCGGAAAAGTAAAAGATTTTTTTTAAAGGAACAATAATTTGTAGCTAGTAAGTTGCAGAGCTGAGACTACTTCCCAGGAGTTTGCACTTCCAAACTGGTGTCCTTCGGTCTGTTGCCCCTCACTGCAGTGTTCTTCCCTCTAATCCTCTTCCTCCTCCCCACTCCTCCCCCTCCTCCCCCTCCTCCTCTCCCCCCTCCTCCCCCCTCCCCCTCCCCCTCCTCCCCCCTCCCCCTCCCCCTCCTCTTCCTCCTCCTCCCCCCTCCCCCTCCCCCTCCCCCTCCTCCTCCTCCTCCTCCTTCTCCTCCTCCTCCTCCTCCTCCTCCTCCTCCTCCTCCTCCTCCTCCTCCTCCTTCTTCTTCTTTCTGATTCCTGTTCAAAGTTGTAAAATTCAAGTCCAGATGTTACCTCTCCCAGGGTGTTTTCTGAGATCAGTCTTAGCAAATGTGTGTCACTCCTTGTGATTTCACTTTCCTCAGAGGTGGATTCTCTGTAATACAACGACTGAGCTTTTTATGGTACTCACTACTGGAGAGCAGAAGCTATTTTACTATATTTAGCATTTAACACGGAATATGGCTCAGAGGCTCTTCGTATGTGTTGAAGGGCAGAGTCCTCTGAAATATACTGAATTGTCAAAGCAGTTTATTGTATCCGGAGCACTGAAAGCTGTGAATGTGTGGTTTCCGTAAAATGAAACATTACTTTTTAAACTTCGATTTTTTTTTTGGTCAATTCTCTAAGCTTATCAAGGTTATTCGCAAGCTTTTGTGAATGACACAGAACCCCAGGCCCATCGCACCTCCCCAAGCTTTTCTCTATGTTTCTGTGTCTTGTCACTTGATCAGTTTCATTCACCGAAGTGCACTTCCACATGCCCTTACACACATACACACACTTCAAGTCACGCACTCCAAGATGTGGTTACTTTTGATAGTGTTATGCAGAGAGTGCTTTGCTAATATGTACTTAGTGGGGCTTTGGGGGGGTTTTTCGCACTTCTACTGAAGTTACATTTATTTTTTAAATTGACATTTTTAATTTAAATAAATTAAATTCTAAAAGTTGACCTTTTCTCATTGTTGAAATAATGATACTAGGGTGGTTTTTTTTTTACGTTTATTTAAAAATGCTTTTGTAATGAGAAAGGATTTTTACTTAAATAGGTCCTGTATTTTTATGAAGTATTTGCTTCTGGACTGAATCATTGCCTAGCTCCTCAGAGGAGACCTTTATTTACTTTCTGTATTTTAATTGGGGGTGGGGCAGTGGCATAGTGTGCTACAACACAGTGTTGGTTGGGGGGGGCTACTTCTGTCCCTTTGCTAGGCAGTTGTTCCCTGGTCCTCCTCCTTGCAGAGTTTGAGCTCAAACCTTGGAGACACTAAAAATTAAATAATATAGGGCTGGAGCAATAGTCCAGTGGGGAGGGCGTTTGCCTCGCACGCAGCTGACCTGGGTTTAGTCCCCAGCATCCCATATTATCCCCAAGCACTACCAGGAGTAATTCCCAAATGCATAGCCTGAGGTAACCCCTGGGCATCTCCAGGTGTGACCCCAAAAAGCAAAATACTACTACTACTACTATTACTACTAATAATAATAATAAGTAGAGTCTGTGGATCTGAAGGGAAGGGCGTATTTGACAGCTTTGCTTATTGACAAACAGTTGTTCATTTCATCTACATGGAATGAGTAAAATCTGGAAACAGCCTAAGCATCCAGACAACAGTTGAAAAATTAAGAATCAACAAAATGCTTTAGAATTTTTAGCTGATAAGAATTATTAGCCGATGGCAAGTCTGTATATTTGGTATTGTTGGGGCAAGGTAGGAGAGGATGAGACTGAGCAGCTTTAAAAGTTACTTGCCTTTTGAAAAGTGTATATTTTTAAATGAGGACAAATGCCAAGATTTAAAAAAAAATACAGTATAGAAACAAGTTTAATATAAGGGCAGAAATGAAAGATTGTGACACCGAAATGGGTCTGCAGTGGTATTTCTAGCATTAGCTTGTTTTGAGGGTCAGGTCATTCCCCTCCATACTGAAAATGAAGGATGAGATGGGAATGAGCAGTTTTGGGGCAGAAACTGACACGGGACGAAGTATGTCTTGATATATGATTTTTCAGTTTATACAAATTCATAAACCCCGAATGTGCTTTTCTCCTTTTATCTCCAGGAGTTTTGCTTTGAAATTAGCTATATATTTGGCTTTGAATACAACATTCCAGATTTAACTAAATACCTTTCTTGCAGATTCTGTTGCCTTATGAAGTCAGTTTATAAGTAGGCTACCTAGTTGAGTAGTAATTTATTTTAAACTGAGCTGCAAGTGTGATATTTCTAAAATTAGGTTTGTTTTTTCATTTTCAGTAATGATGTAGACATGGAAACAGATCACTACTCCAATGGAGTTGGAGAAACGTCATCCAATGGTTTCCTAAATGGTAGCTCTAAACATGACCACGAAATGGAAGATTGTGACACCGAAATGGGTCTGCAGTGATATTTCTTACATTTTTTAATTAAAAAATGATGGCTCCAAGGTTATGTTTTCACTTGTACTGATTCACAGCTGATGAGCAGAAATCTAAAGTTGTCTGTGCCATTGGATTTGACATGACATTCTCTTAACTTTCTTGTAAGAGCTGGTTGCTAGAGAGAACCTTCTGGAGTTAAGTGTTAGAACTGTTTGGTGCTGGATTTTTTCTTTTTTGTTTTTTGGCTCGACTTCGGCACTGTGATAAAGTGCAACAGGACTCTTAGTGCGACATGCCCCAGAGGCTGTGTAAAATTGAGGATAGGGAGAGGGAGAGTTCGCATTCCACACCATAGCCTTTGAAGCTCAAATGAGAAGAGATGATTTTATAAATTCTGTTCAGACTCTATTTAACGTGAATATATTTGACTTTTTAGTTCAGAGCCTCTTTATGTATGACCCTTCTCCGACCCTCGCAGGTTATGTGACTGAAAAAGACATCCACATGTCTGATTTTACTTTATTGGCAGTTTGTGTAGTAAACTGTATTATAAAAAAAACAAACCATTCACAAACTTGCCCATCAATTGGAATTAAGATTATTGAAGCATATAAGTTTTTATTTGTAGAATTCCACAATGTTAAATTTTTTTAGTATTTGAAGTTCAAAGGTATTATTAACTTTGTTAGATTACATATTGGAAACTATTCAGTTACTTTTCTCATACAAATTATCTTGTTATTAAGGATTATGTGCTACAGTTTGGTGTGATTTCGCTTTTTTTAATCAAGGAGTATGAATTGTAAGGCAGCCTATTCTTTATTTTATCTGATATCAGCACACTAAACATTTCCAGTATAATTAAAGCTTTGCTCTAAGAGTATAAGTTCCAAAGCTAGATAACCTGGATTTGAATTCTGCAACTGCCACTTACTAGCTTTTACTTAAGGACAAGTTACTTACAAACTCTGTGCCTCAGTTTCTTCATCTGTAAAATGGGTATAATCATAGCCAACTGTGTCATCCTCAAGATAAATGAGCTAATCTGAAAAACTATTAGCACAAAGTACCTAATAAATATTAATTCATATAGTTACATTACAAACCAGTGTTTATGGCTAATCGAGATACAGAGTAGATCCTTGACGAACATTTTGTTCAACGTTCTCTTTATAACAGTGTGGAGGGGAAGGAGGGATACCTACTGATAGTGAATGGAATGACAATACGAGAGGACCTGATTTTGTTCTAGGATGTTTTACTTAGCCTCACAGTTTCCAGGAACCCACTGTGATGAGAATCTCTATATACTGTTAAAAATTGTTTTTGAAGTAGTCTTTTATCTGAAAGCTAAATAACTTGTGATTCACTTAATATGGCATTTCTATGATTTATTGTAATCATTTAACTTCGAGGAATTACTTTGTCTCTGTTCTGGGTCAGTGTAGTCTTGAGACAGTTTTTTTCTCTTTTTTTTTTATGTTGCTTTGTGTAATATTAGAGATTTGAGCTTAACTTTTATTTTCCCCTGACTTATAACTCCAACCTAAGAGGTACTTTTGAGACCTAATAAGTGTATCTTTAATTTGTAAAATTCTATATTTAATAAAATAAATCTGTTAAGATAAAGTACTAGTGCTTATGAAATGTGAGGTACAGAATGTCTAAGAAAGGTGTCTCTGTCTCCCCGCTGTGCGCTCTTCAGTCAGGTAGTAAGATACTTGTTTTTGCTTACAGAAGTGGATTCCAGTCAGTTAAGACGCCAGTTGTGTGGAGGAAGTCAGGCTGCCATTGAAAGAATGATCCACTTTGGAAGAGAACTGCAAGCGATGAGTGAACAGCTGAGGAGAGAATGTGGCAAAAACACAGCAAATAAAAAAATGTTGAAAGTAAGTTTGCTTCCCCTTGAAGAACTAGAAATAATGTCACTGTAGCTAAAATGTTGATTGAAATACAGAGCAGTGCTGGCCATCCTTGTTGGGCAGTTGGACACTGACTCACGTGGGAGAAGGCAGATCCTTGGTGGGCTGGGGAGTTCTGTGCTCCTGGATGACTTAGCAGGTTGTGGGCTGGATGACTTTGCCTTCCGAGTCTTCATCAGCCAGAAGATATTATCAGTTGACTTTTTTTTTTTTTTTGCTTTTTTTGCTTTTGGGGGTCACACCCAGCAATGCTCAGGGGTTACTCCTGCCTCTACACTCAGGAATGACTCCTGGCGGTGCTCAGGGGACCATATAGGATGCTGGGGATCCAACCTGGGTAGGCCACGTACAAGGCAAATGTCCTGCCCACTGTGCTATCTATCCAGGGAGTCTTAGTCTTATTTTACTTATCTTACTTTCTTAGTCTTATTTTCTGAGCTGCAAATTTGGCAGAAGATTTATTAGAAGAAATGAGTGTGTTTAAATTCTTTTTTTTTCTCTTGGTTTTTGGGCGATACCTGGCTGTGCCCAGGGCTTACTCCTGGCTTTGTTCTCAGAGTTCACTCCAGGTGGAACCATATGCGTGCCGGGAATCAAACCCTGGAAGACTTCGTGTAAGGCAAACACTTCCGCCCATAAACTATGAATTTGAGCTATTTTTTACTTTGGTACACCTTGTTCAGATTCGCAGTAAGCTGGCTGTAATGCACATGTCACTTATATGATGGTGAGGAGTGAACATCTAAGGTTATACAATGTTTGGGGGTGGCTTTCCGCCATTCTGTAAGCTGCTAGCCACCAGAGGGGCCGCCGCTGAAGCCAGACGGGCCAGTTAGAGTTGCCACAGTGGCCAATTTGCTCACATGTGCGAGTGGTCCCTGGCATGCAAACAAAAACCAAACACCTAAAGGAAAGCATTATAGTCAAGTGTGGAGATGTTAGGCCCCTTTGAAAGTGATTTTGCATATTCAATCAAGTCCCACCAGTCCTGTGAACCTAGGAAACATTAACATTAAAGAAATAAAACAAAACAACCAGCATAGGATGAGCTCCAAGTTGATTTCGCACTTCCCCTGAACGTTGTTTAAAAGAGAGGTATATTTAGTGCTCCTGAGTCTGATAATGGCATCTGGGGGTGCGGGGGGAGGGGGGGCGGGGAGCAGCAGCCTGCTGTCCCTTCCTGTCCCAAAAAGAGAGGGCACCGAGCGGCATCCTTGGTGGTGTAGGGAGCTGGCACGCGGGCACGGCACCTGCTGTCACACTGCCCCCTCGCCAGGGTGTTCCGTGTGGCTCTGTGGGGCCAGGCGGGTTTGTCCTCAGGTGCTGCCTCCACCCGACTTGTGATGCCGTGTTTTCCTGGAAGCACAGCTCGATTATAGCAGTCACCCCAAGTCTCCAGACTGTTAAATAGTGATGGAGAGAAATGAATAAATTCAATAATTACACTTGGCGTTGCTCCGGAGGGAGGCCCAGGAGCCACTGGCCAGCCCAGTTTATGGTTCACTGTGGTACATCGCTCCGGCTGGGGGCAGTGTTTGGGGAGGAGGACGTGGCATTCAGACTCAGGACCCCGATTGCTGGGCTTCCTCCTTGGACCCTAGCAACTGTTTAAAAGTTAAATCAGAATATCATTTATTCAGAAAATGGCTGTCATTTTCCCCTAATAACAACCGAGTTCCCTGAGGGTTTTTATTGATTTTTCTCCCCTTTTATGCAACCAAAATTAATTCACTCAAAAATAATCGTTGACTTTTTTGAAAATTACAGAAAATAACTTCTTCATAATACTCTTCTGGGGGCCAGGGAGATAGCTCAGAAGGCTAAAAGCTTGGGTTCAAGCACCATGGAAATAGGCCTCAGTTAGCACTGGGTGTGGCCCCACAACCGCACCCGCCATAAAAGCACAAAGCTGATGCTCAGGACTTACTCTTGGGTTTGCGCACTCCTGGCGATGCTCAGGGGAACCATATGGGGTACAAGGGATCAGTCTGGGGCGGGCATTACACGGAAAGCTCCCTGCCCACCGTACCAACTCTCCAGCTCCTCAAAGCCCCTTTTGATTCAGTGTATATCTAGAATAGAGGCTGGAGGGAGTACAAGAGGTAGGGCATGGGACTTGCATAGGACTGACCTAGATTTGGCCCCCAACACCCCGGATGGTCCCCTGAGTCGGGAGTGAGTACTGAGCCCTGCAGAGCCTCACAACAAAAACCAAAGAAAAGTATTTATCCAAAAGGAGAAGTGGGATATACCTTTAGAAGTGGGTGAGAGATGTCGGTACCTTTCGATGCGTAAGAGAATGGAATCATGAAGTGATTGTATAGTTTTGCTTTGAAAATGAAAGTTCAGCTTAGTAAGCATTTTTTTTAAATACCCAGATATTTTTACTTTTCACAATTTCTTTAATGCTCGGTTGAAAAAGGAGGTGAGCTGTTTTATGAAACCTACCTTTCATTTGCTCTGTTGCTGCCCCACGTCCTGTGGTCTCTGGAAAACTCACCTACGTCAGTGGGAGAAGCAGGGAGAGAGACCAGAGCCTAGAGCATCTTTTTCTTGGCATGAAAATAGGGTTAAGTTCACAAGAGCCACCTTCGAAAGGTCTTGGACAGGATGTCCCTGTACTCTGAGAACTATTGTTTAGGTGTTTGTGAATGCAAAATGCTTTTTTAAAATTCATAATTTTGACACCCAAACATCTGTTTTCTTGTTAAACTTGATACAAAGTAAGCATGATGGATTATTTATATATGCCACATGTGGTGCCTTTTAAAAAAAAAAAAGGCTTTTCTACCCCTTAAGCACATCCCTGGCTCCTATGCCTTTGAAAATTAAAGATTTTACTCTTTCTTACTGCGCATGGATTCCCATTTGTTTGAAGCTCAGAAAGTGACATTCCAGGCCTGCCTCTGGATGGTTCTTGGTTATATGTTGAGTAATGTGAAGGAGAAGCTCATCTTCTTCATCTAAAGAATGTAAATGGCTGTGACTTTTGCCCCTCTGACCTCTAACCAGATACCAGCTACTTTGAGACTTGAACATTGAGTTCACCTTACCGTTCCCTAAGTGCATCTTGGCCCAGACAGGTAAAATGAGAAACTGAACTTACTTTAGTGTGCTTGAAGAATAATGCTAGAGAATTTTTGAGGGCGACGTAGGAAAAAACGGTGCCATCATTTAGAATGTATCCCTTTTCCTTCACTTCAGGTCTCATGCTCATCCTCTGGGGCTTTCTTTTTCCCCCCTGGTCTTTGTCTTTTATTTCTTTTACTGTTTCCCCCCCTCTACCTACCCCCCCCACCCCCACCCCCCGTTTTGGTGGGAGTTCAAGGCTTGTCTGCCATTGGCTCCCCAGAGAGCTACCTGAACTGCTTCACTTGGTGAGCAGCCACTTACTGGTCAGATCCCGCCTTTGTGACCAGGCACTGCAGTCAGCTCTGTGGAGAGTCAGGTGCAGATGAGTAGCCTCGGCCCGCAAAGACCATCTCATCTAGTCCTCGAACCAAGTAAGCACTTGAGCACGGATCCACATTTGTCTTGCAGGGGAGAGAGTAGGGTTCTCAGTGCCACACCTGGGAGTCCTGGCAGGGAAGAGGTGGGGACGCAGGGCACACTACGGCTCAGATCCGCTCCCTCGCACTTGCAGGAGGATGTACAAGCACCTCAACATGAGCTCTCCGCTACAGAGTGGAAGCAGAATTGGTCCCACTGAGGGGATGTCTGGGCTGGAGCGAAAGCACAGCGGGTACGGCATTTGCCTTGTACGCAACCGACCCGGGTTTGATTCCTTCATCCCTCTTGGAGAACCCGGCAGGCTATTTGACAGTATCCCGCCCACATGGCAGAGCCTGGCAAGCTCCCCGTGGTGTATTCGATATGCCAAAAACAGTAACAACAAATCTCACAATGGAGACGGACGTTACTGGTGCCCGCTCGAGCAAATCGATGAACATCGGGAGGACCGTGCTACAGTGAGGGGCTGTCTGGATGTCTGGCATAGCCACGCAAGGCGGCAGGACTGTTTATGTCAGAGGCAGACAGACGAACACCCAGTGTTCCCCTTAAGAATGACTGCACAGCTCAGCCTCCCGGGTGCTGTCCCCCTCACCAGGGAGAGGCCCCCTCTGGGTGGGAAAGGTGGGGAGCAGTCGTGGTGGCCAGGAAGCCCCGTTTCCACTCTCAGAGCACGAGGGAGCTGGATAATGAGCAGCTAGACCTAAGAAATACTGTTGAGGAGTTTCACTGTTCCACAGCTTAGTAATCAGCATTTTGGTAGCATTCTTAACAGAAGATGCCGATTGCCATTTCCTCAGTACCTCTCTGTGGGTGCCCGCCAAGGTGGCAGGGTAGCCTATATCTCTGGATCTTTAACTCTAGGTTAGAGAACTGACTTCTGGCAGACTAGAAAAGATCAGTTACTGAGAGAGTCAGCTGCATTTCATGTAGGTCAGTCCTACCCCGCTCCCTTATAATACCTACATACGAACAGGCCCTTTGAGAGGGTAGGATTTGCCAAAGCCATTTCCTCGCTGCTGGTGGCAGGTTGATTGTGGTATGTGCAACATACCAACAACATGTTAGAAGTTTGCGAGGACTGTGAATGTTACATTATGAACGTGCGTGGGTATCTTGATGACCTTTTTGTTTTGTTTTGGGGTCACAGCCGGTGATGCTCAGGGGTTACTTCTGGCTCTGCACTCACGAATCACTCCTAGCAGTGCTTGGGGCTCTGGGGTGCTGGGGATTGAACCTTGGTTGGTCACGAAACAAGGCAAGTGCCTTACCTGCTGTACTATCTCTCTAGCCCTGATGGCATTTTTAGACTCCTAAAGGCAGCCTGTTCAACATTTTGTGCAGTTTGAGATGACATCGAATGAGTTTATACAATTCCCCTGTCTGTTTAAAAAAAAAAAAAGAAGAAGAAGAAGCAAAAACAAGTATGCTGGCTGGGTCAGTTCAGATAGTGATATTAAATTGTAAAAGAAAGCATCTAGTGATGGGTCTTCCCATCCCACAAGAATTTTTTTTTTAATTTTTAACCTTTTTTTGGGGGGTAGGGAGATTATTCTATATATGTTGTCGGTTTGAGGGCCTGTTACAAGAAAAATGAAAACTGACTGACACAAAAGCTAGTTTGTGTGACATATAGTCAAAGTCGTGGGGGATAAAAGGGTTTAAATATTAGTGTAGTGCCATATCTAACTCCCCTACTTGTAACCACGATGATCATAGAAGACTTTAGTTAAACAATAAAATTGCTGTTTCGACAGGATGCATTCAGTTTACTAGCTTATTCGGATCCTTGGAACAGCCCAGTTGGAAATCAGCTTGACCCGATTCAGAGAGAACCTGTGTGCTCAGCTCTGAACAGTGCAATATTAGGTGAGTAAGGCCAGAAATGCGACTGGTAACTTGATTGGGTATTTGGTAAAAGCTTAAAGATGACGTGTCTCTTTTTTGGTTAGTTGGTTGGTTGGGGCCCACACCCTCTGGTGATGGGACTCCTCCCAGAGGCAGGGATCGGGTCCCTGACTTGGCACCAAAGCATATGTGCTCGCCCTCAGCTCTCTGCCCGGCCTGGTTTCTGCCTTTTGATACTTTAACGTTTAATACACAGGAAGCTCCCTCCTTATTTAAATGTAGACCAAATGGAATTCTGCATTGCCCCTGAATGGAATTAGAGCAGCAGCACCTTAGGGTGCATCAGAGGCTGTTTGGAGAGCTGCTGTGCTTGTGCCCGGAGCAGGTCTGACCTGATGGCTGCTCTAGTCCTGTCATCGTCTTGCCCCACGGAGCCCCCAGGTGACCTGGGCTCTGGCCCCTGACCAATTCTTTAGGTCTTGTGTTTTCTCTCTTGATTTTCGGGCCACACCTAGCAGTGCTCAGGGATCGCTCCCGGCAGCCTCAGGGGACCACATGTGATGCTAAGGATCAAACCTGGGTTAGTGTGTGCAAGGCCAGTGCCCTGGCCACACTCCTAGCTCTCTGGCCTCTTAGGGTCAGATTCTGTCTGCATAAAGTTAGGCATACCATTGTTATCAGCACATGCCTTCTCCGAACAACAAGAATGGACGAGGAGGAATAAAGCAGTTTATTTTTTGTTTCTCTTTCTTTGGCCCACACTCAGCAGTGCTCAGGGCATACTCCTGCTCTGCATGGAAACCGGAATTTGCTGGTTGCCCTGACTGCTCGCTGCTCCTAGGGGCAGCTTTCACGAGAGTGCGATTATGAAATTGAATTGCTGAACAAATAACTATTTGCTCAGTGTGTTTATTTACACACACACACACACACACACACACACACACACACTATAGGGTTGAGTTTACTTAAAACTCATGGGCAAATTTTTGAAAAGGTGATTTTTTTTTTATCCGACTTTCGAAGGTATTTTTTGGGATAAACAGGATTCCTATCTGAAAGGTTTGATTCCTTTACATGTTTTGTATGATTTTAGGCAGATTAGGGCAGTGCAGCGAGGGGCCAAGTTACACAGCATTAGACAGGGAGACCCATAATGTGGGTCCGGGTTCATGTGGCTGCAGTGTAAAGCAATGTACTGAGTCATATTTGAACTTTAGTTTCTTTGTCCTTTTAAAAATGTTAATCCATCTTATTTTGAGGCCTAAAGCTGAAGTGTTGAAAAATTTAGTTACTTCTGTTGGTAAAAATAGAACTTGGTGGTATTGTTGGAATTGTAGGGTAGGTCATTTATTATAATTGTATTTTGGAAATTCCATCATACATAATCATGAATCTAACTTAATTCCATCATAGGTAATCATGAAACTAATTTACTTAAATTTTGTATTTAAGTAATGACTTGAAAATTGGCATTTTAATCTTGGGTTCATTAAATACAAGATACATATATTCTTACATGTAGTGCTATAGTGCTTGTATTTCACTTAATCCCCGTTATTCATCGATTTATTTGAGCGGGTGCCAGTAACGTCTCCATTCATCCCGGTTGCGTGCTAGCGTAGCCCAATGGTATGTTCGTTTTAGGAACATGCAGAGCCTCAAACCGATCATTTAGGGTCTTGACGAAGAAGTCTGACCATCTTGTAGGTGGGCGTCCACGTGATCTTTTGATGTCCCGTGGAATCCAATCAGTAATTGCTCTAGTCCAGCGGTTGTCTGTAAACCTCATTACATGTCCAGCCCATCTGATTTTTGATGTCTTGGCAAATGAGACAGCGTCCCTGGTTCTTGAGCGTTGACGAAGATCAGAACTCCGGATTCTATCTCTCATTTGAGTGAATCGTGATATTCCAAGCATAGTTCTTTCGATTCCTCTTTGAGATACCCGAATAGCATTCTCAATGCTTAATTATCCAATTAAATATCTTAAATATCCAACCCGCACGGCAGAGCCTGGCAAGCTATCCGTGGTCTATGCCAAATAGACCAAATTGATATGCCAAATCCAGTAATAAATGGATCTCATTTCCCTAACCCTGAGTATGCTTGTATTTATTACACTAAAAATTGACAAATCAGATCCCTAAATTGCAATGAGTGTATACTGCGCATATTTGGAAATCGTGCCGAATTAGTCATATATAAGTAGCAGTTACTATATATTTGTAATTCCTGTGAGTTTACTACAAAAACATAAAGATGCTCAGAACCAGTTTTTAATCAAAGCACCATAAGCCTGGGAGCAAGAACCTTGATGAGACATTTGTAAAATTGTGGGGGGCTGGAGCAGTAGCATAGTGGGTAGGACGTTTGCCTTGCACGCAGCCGACCTGGGTTTGATTCCCAGCATCCCATATGATCCCCTGAGCACTGCCAGGGGTAATTCCTGAGTGCAGAATTGCTGGGTGTGACCCAAAAAGCAAAAAAAAAAGTTTCCTTTTCAAATGTTCAAATGTTATTGCCTGGTAAGTTGATTTTTTTATAAAAATTTAAATGCTCGTGATAGAACTACATGAGGCAGAGTAAGCTTAAGTCAGTTAAATGTACCGAAACACCAAAATTTAGCTGAATTGTTTCTTGCCAAAGAACAGCCTTTGCTTAATTTTAATCCAAAGGACACTTTTCAAGCCATATTCTCTCACTTATTTTTCTTGCAATCTTAACTATTTTTAGCCCCTTTTTTATGTTCTCTTGTACCTTCTTCAGTTCCTAAACTTTCTACCCTCTTATTTTTGAGTCCTCCCTCCTGGGACTCCTGCGAGCGAAAGGGAAGCTTGGAATCACACAACTTTTTAGCCATGTGGGTTGCTGAACCCAGTGGTGTATCACAGCTGCCCTTTGTCACTGTGCTGACCAAGACGTGTCTTTGCAAGTTAAAGTAGGGATTTGTCACACAAGGAGAAGTTGCCAGCTCCACTCCTCTTGATCTCCTTTACCATTGTTTTCTTGTTGATACTTAACATTTGTATTGTACTACTACAAAAGCCTGCCAGGTTTCTGGTATGTATGGTCCTGAAAGTTATTTATCAGTTACAAATTACCCTCCAATTCTGGCGTTTGCCTTGCACGCAGCCAACATGGCCGACCCAAGTTCGATTCCTCCGCCCCTCTCGGAGAGCCCGGCAAGCTACCGAGAGTATCTCGCCCTCACGGCAGAGCCTGGCAAGCTCCCCATGACGTATCCGATATGCCAAACACAGTAACAACAAAGTCTCCAATGGAGACGTGACTGGGCCCGCTCGAGCAAGTGATCATATACTAAAAATAAATAAATAAAACACTTCTCCCTTATTTCTTTTGTTTTATAATAATAATTATTATTAACAGAAGAGGGCTGGAGTGATAGCACAGCAGGTAGGGCGTTTGCCTTGCACGCAGCCAACATGGCCGACCCGAGTTCGATTCCTCCGCCCCTCTCGGAGAGCCCAGCAAGCTACTGAGAGTATCTCGCCCGCACAGCAGAGCCTGGCAAGCTCCCCATGATGTATTCGATATGCCAAACACAGTAACAACAAAGTCTCCAATGGAGGGAGACGTTACTGGGCCTGCTCGAGCAAACCGAGGAACAACGGGAGGGCCTTTACCTTTACCTTACCTACTAAACTCAATCAGCCCAAATAAATATTCCCAAGTGCTTTGGCACGATTAGCCTCATTTGGGTCCTCTCTCCAGATTGGTAGTGTTCATCAGTGAAACTTTTAATGAAAATCTGGAATTTTCCTTCATTGATATCAGTTGGCCTTGAACACACCGAAGAAAAATGCTGATACTCCTTGCTTCCCACTATAATACAAGAATATAAATATTCCCTGTTGTATAGAGGTTATGTGTATCTAACATTTTGTTTGGGTGGGATTTTGGTGTATTTTTATTTATTTTTTTTTTGCGTTTTGGGTCACACCCAACGATGCTCAGGGGTTAGTCCTGGCTCTGCACTCAGGAATGACTCCTGGTAGTGCTGGGCACCATATGGGATGCCAGGGATCAAACCCGGGTCGGCTGCATGCAAGGCAAAAGCCCTGCCGCTGTACTATTGCTCCGGCCCATGGGTGGGATTTTGATTTGGGGCCACACCCAGCGGTGTTCAAGGATCACTCCTGGTGGAACTTGAGGGATCCTATGGGGTGTTGGGGAGTGACCACCGAGTCAGCCGTATGCAAAGCAAGTTTTTTTTCTCTACTGTACTGCCTTTCTAGCCAGAGTCTCTTTAAGATTTTTCAAATCCTGCAAGAATACCTAGTACTCATATTATCCTGTCATAACATTTTCTAGAGTGTTACCCATTTGCTTAGAAAGTGTTAAGTAATTTTCTAAGTAATGAGTTTGAGTTTTGTTGTCCTTTCTCCTAAGTGCCTTGCTAATTGCTCTTTCCATTTTAAACCCTTTTTCCTCAGAAACCCACAATCTGCCAAAGCAACCTCCACTTGCCCTCGCAATGGGACAGGCCACACAATGTCTGGGACTGATGGCTCGATCAGGAATTGGATCTTGCGCCTTTGCCACAGTGGAAGACTACCTACATTAGCTATGCATTATGGAGCTCACACTTATATTGTGGCATAGAGTCAACATGGAAGTAGACCAGCTCTGCTGATTTGAAACTTAGATTTTTTAATTATGTACTGGGGACAGGTTTTTGTCGCTTTACATTGCTTCCTAGTTTACAGCATGATGCAAATGATTTTCTAACTTAGGGTTAGGAGAAATTGTTTTCCATCTTTAACCTCTTAGTTGTCTAAGAGTTAAAATATTACTGAACTTCAGACGTTCAAATTGATCATCACAAATCCTTTAAACAATTACCTAAAAGAAACCAAAAAATCCTGCCTTCTTTGTTGGGGGGGAGAGGGGAAGGAAATGGAACAAGTTGTGTTTGTGTTAGCATGTGGGTGATGTAAAAACTTCTAATTGGGAGATGTTCCGACCCCCGCTCCCATACAAGCATTCAATCAGTGTAACTTGCAAAATGCATAAACATCCGACAGTTTGAATTTATAGTGTTGATGGAAGAAATCATTTTTAATGTGTACTGTAAAACTTGAAATACTCAGGAGCTGAGTGAATATGTTTGTTGCTACTTACAATCCCGACCTGTTAGTCCCAGTAGTTCTGTTTTAACATGGTCTTTTTCAACCTTGTTTCCTGTTTCACTACAGACGATTTCTGTTCTAGACTCACAAGTTTAACTGTTGTATTATAACAGTATTACATGTCAACAGTGTGGTTATGACCTTTATTTATATAAAACCAAATATTTAGTCAATTTACCGTGTCTTAATTTAATCTTTGTACACCTTCCATTTTTAAGTGCTTAAATGAGTACTATATTGCAATAAAAATGTAGTGATATAATTAACCAGCCATTAAAAATTTACTTCTACAGATAACTAGAGTGTCAATTGAGTTTATATATCAGGTTAACCTCACTGCATAAATATATTTAGCTCAAGGCTGCCATTCGTATTATTGGCCTCCTTAGAGTTGAACTTGATAGGGTGGTAAAGGTAAAGGTAAAGGCCCTCCCGTTGATCGTCGATTTGCTCGAGCGGGCCCAGTAACGTCTCCATTGGAGACTTTGTTGTTACTGTGTCTGGCATATCGAATACTCTCGGTAGCTTGCCGGGCTCTCCGAGAGGGGCGGAGGAATCGAACTCGGGTCGGCCATGTTGGCCGCGTATAAGGCAAACGCCCTACCGCTGTGCTTGATAGGGTGACATAGGAAAAATATAATATCCTTGTTTTCCTGATTTGTCCAGCATGGTGTAGTAAAGCAAACCTCCCAACTGGTTAAAAGTACGAAGTTGTGGGGCTGGAGAGACAGTAATGGGGCTAAGGTGCCTTGCCTAGCACGCAGCTGCGACCGTGGTTTCAATCCTGGCACTGCATGTGGCCCTGAACAGGGGTGGGCGCAGCCCAGTAGTCAAGGAACTGTTCTTTGACATGTAGTGAGGCAGTTGACAATGTTAATGCACTGAGGCACGAACCTTCTTTAAAAGAACAGCATCTCTGCCGGCCGTGCGCTTCCTTACAAGTTCTAACAACCATCTTTGAGGGCTGCAGCTGAAAACGCTTCCTAGATTCTTTTATTCTTGCCACGTAACAGGACTGTGGTTAGTGGTGCAAGCTATTCCAGAACTCCCCAAGGCATCATTAAAGATGAAAATAGCTTCAAATACAGTTAAAATAACTCTTTGAGGTGATTTGTAAATGGTTTATTAAATTTGTACCAAAAAAAATTACCCTCTAAATGAATAAGTCCTAAAATACAAAGTACTCGGTACTCTTTTTAACTTTACTTCTTAGAAGTTTTCATCCTTCTGACCATCCACCGTCTTTTAAACCTCTTGGCATTTTGTTTTTTCTGGGTTCCTAGAATAAAAGTTTCGTGTAGTATGAGTATCAGATACAAAATTCCCAAGAAAGCAGTTTTTTTAAACAAAGCTAAAAGATTCTCTACTTAAAATATCGAAGCCAAGAGATTAAGACGCAGGAGACCTTACCCCAAGTGTTATTCAGAAAATGCGCTGCAGCTTTTTTCACAGGTAACCTCTTGTTCTCAAGAGACAGGAACTTATTTACTAGAAAAGACAATTATTAATCGTTGGTCTTATATGTAGGAAACGGTGAAATAAAAAAAAGTTGGCAGGAAATTACCGGTGGTCCTGTTGGTTCCTGGGCCATACAGTGAGTTCTGTATGAAGGCCTGGGCGGCCTGTTGCCTTGAATCTCTCAGCTCTTGGTCTTTGAGCCTTACAGCCACGTAGCTTTTATTATGGCTGGTGAACAATACAAAAGGTCAGAAGGAGTGAAGTTAGCAACATGCTTATTCTCTTTGGGGGGGTGGGGAGTTGGGCTTAGGGGCTTCCACGATACTCAGGGTGATACTTTGCCAACCAGGCCCACAGTTCAGGGCTAGCGCCCCCAGAGAGCACTGCTCAGCCAGTGCTCGGGGTCTCCAGGGCTACGTGTGGTGATGCTGGGGATTCAGCCTGGGTTACGCATGCCTTGCACTCCCTGACCCCTCCCTGTACTATTTCCCCGGCTCCCTAACATGCTTATTTTCCAAATAAAATATTTGTCAGTTGTCTAAAATAGTGAAAAGAAGATTCTAATTTTGTATATGCACAGATAATGAATAAAACAAATTACAGGGCTGCAATATAAAAAACCGACTAATGTTTTATTTATAACTACTAGGATGAATTAAGTTTTAAGGATGATTCAGTGTGAAATTACTACTAGCTATTTTCCCAGGTAACCAGTAAATTTACCTCAAAAAAGTCACTTTTAATTTCATTAAGAAAAGAACTTCTTACCCAACAGCCTGTACTTTCTGCACTTTTGCTTTCTTGGATCCACTTCCTTTCTCACATTCTTCACTTTTCTTCTGCAAATCAACTAGAAAAAATATTTCTAATTAGCATTTATGCACCAAAAAAAAAGCCAAACATCTACTGAGGCTCCCTTTAAATATCCCCTATGCACCAACCGCAACCTTTATTTGTAATAAAGGGAAAACGTTCAAGCTAAACTTAGCATGCCTACTCGCATGCTTTTTCAGAGAACTGCAAAAATCTGCAAATGTCCTTGACACACGAGAAGTTTAATTTAAAAATTAAAATAGCGCATACCTTCTTTCAACTTTCCTGGTGACTTCTTTAAGCTAACAAAGAACAATAGAAAAAAAAATGGTCTGGAATGGCAGTAAATCACTCAACAATTTCATCTCATTTTACAAATAACAGGTGTCCTATCTCCCACGCCCCCATACCCCACATCCTCAAAGCTTGCTCTGATACCTGAGCTTAGTTTGGAAAGATAAAAAGGAAATGTACCACTAAACATACTCTGGTTACCTCAATAACGTACTTGGAAAAGCTCTTTCACTGAAATTTTGTGAGCCTAGATAAAAGATACCACGCTAAACTAAAAAAGCAATTAAGAGGCCAGGAGAATCTAGACGTTTCCATGAAATAGGAACCAGGAACGGTGGAAGGCACCTGTGGATTAGTGTCTGCTACAGTCCACTGCAGGCCACCTTTCAAAGCCCTTTAATTCCCAGCCATCTGCCCTGGTGTTAACAGCTGCACAGCAGTTCACTGAAGGAACGCAGAAAGCAGCCGGGAATCCACAGAACAGGAGCCAAAGACAGACAAACGGATCATTTCTTTCTCCTTCCCCACCTAATCTACGCCACCTGTCCACCCCGGACACACCTCCCGCTGCTGCTGCTCATTTACCAAGTGCCATGTTGTGCCATGTTCTCGGCTCTGTGGATTTGCATCCAAGTCGGTACCAGTCAAGGCATCACTTACCTGGTGGTCTGCGGGGCAGCGATTAACTTCTCTAGGATGGCGTCTGGAAGGAGTTTCCTTTTCTGTTAGGGCATCAAAAAAAAAAAAAAGACATTCATGACAACCTTACTGTCAAATCTCTGCTTTTAGGGGCTGGAGCGACAGTCCCAACAGGTAAGGTGCGTGCCTTACACCGGGTAGGCCAGGAAGGATACCCGAGCATCACGGGATGATCAAAACACCGCCCCCAACCCCAGTTCTGATTTTAAGGCCAGCCCTACATCCCGGCTGCTCTGGGGACCAATTCCTGCAGCCCAGAGGCCAGCGCGTCGGGCAGCAGAGCCACCCTACAGCTCGTGCAGCTCAGCCTTTGTCGCCTGGAGGGTCATGCCAGGCCCGCCAACGTCTCATCCCGTCTCATCCCGGCGGGGCTGTCTGGTCCAGGGCGAACCCCTGCACCTTTCCCTTGGCACGGGCGCAATTTCAGGCCCCCTCCCCAAAACGGGGGGGGGGGTGTCCTGCCAATTTGGGTGTGATGGGTGCAACTCAGTAAATTTTAGCTCCCTGGGGGAGGAGCAAGGGCAAACCAAAAGTTACCCAACAGAAAGGGAGCAGGGGAGATGAATGAAGAAAGGGGGTGTGAAATGGGAGGGACCAGCAGGAGGACCCCTGCGGGTACGGGGGCCCTGGAGGGAGCCGCGGGAATGGCCGGGGATGAGATCCACCAGCACGCACAATTCTAAACACCACCGGTGTGGGGGGGTGCATTCCCTAAAAAAGGGGTGCTTCCTCGTGGCTCCCCCACTGAGCATCTGCAAAAGGGGGCACGGCAGCAGTCCTGGCGTGCCGTTCGGATGGCGGAGGCCAAGGAGCAGCAGCAGCGGGAGGTGTGTCCGGGGTGGACAGGCCACTGGAGAGGTGCAGGTGGACACAGTTCCATCGGCCCGTCCTAAGTGGGGATTTTTTTTTTCCAGAACCCGCCCCCGCCCTCATCACCTTCTGCTCGATGAAGAGCTCCTCCCGGCGCTTCCGCTTCTCCTTGAGGAGGGTCTTGTCCCTGGGAGGAAAGACGCAGTGAGAGGTGGGCGCGGGGGGCGGGCGGGCGACCCCCCGGCCGGCCCCCGGGCTCCGCACCTGCGCACCGTCTCCCGCACCCGCCGCTCCTCGGCCCGCGCCTCCAGCTGCGCGCTGGCGAACGTCAGCTCCTCGGGGGCCTCGTCGTCCGCGTCGTCCTCGTCCCCCTCCGGCGGCTCGGCGGCCGCGCCGCTGCTCGACTGCCCGAGCAGCACGCCGTGCTCCGCCTCCTCCTCCGACGCGGGCTGGTCCTCGTCCACCATCGCCGACGCCCGGGCGCGGGACGCGCGCGGCCGGAGCTGCACCATGGCCCCCGCGCAGCGGCAGCCCCGCGTGACCTCTGACTCGGAAGCGGCTCGCCCGCCAAGGAGGGCGGCGACGCGCGGAGAGCAAGCGCCGGGGCCTTCATCGCCCCCTGCAGGCCTGGAGGCGCAATGAACTGCGGGGTGGTGGCGGGGGGGGGGGGGGGGGGGGGAAGGGGGACGGGCCCCGAGGGAGCCCACGGCCGGTGAGGGAGGCAGCGCGTTTCAGGAAAGGGCGTGGCCAGAAGGAAAATGGGCGTGGCCGAAGGGGGAAAGTGGGCGGGGAGTGAGCGAGTTTCCCTCTCGCTGGCGAATCCCGTCCGTTTATGCAACAGAATCATCTGGAGTGACGCCAGTTCGCCAGTGTTTGTCGAGTGGAGGACATGCGCACCGGAGACTGAACTTTGGTGACTTTCAGTTTAGCTGTCACCGAGGAGATCCTAGCCCGACTAGTATCCAGGGTCCAGCTTGCCGGTGGGGACCTCCACAGTCTGCATTCTGACCAGCTCCATCTCCCCAGTGGAGTCCCCACCCTAGGCACATCTCCCACTGCTGCTGCTCCTTTGTCTCTGCCATGCAAATGGCACGGGAGGGCCGCTGCAGTTTGCAGATGCTGAGTGTGTGGGAGCTATGAGGAAGCACCTCTTTCTTATGAAATGCACCCCGGGTGTTGTTTAGATTTGTGTGGATCTCAAACCCACCCCACTCGCCATTCCCGCTGCTGCCTCCACTCCTGCAGGTGTCTTCCTGCTGAGCACAACTCGCCCTTCTTACGCCCCCTTTCCTCACCTTCCCTTGCTGTAGGCTCCTCTTCTGTTTGATAACATTTGTTTGGCCTTGCTCTTCCCGCAGGGAACTTAGATTTATTGAGCTGCACCCATCAACAGTGCTCCCGAGGCACACCCAATTCCATCAGGCACTCCTAATCCTATATTGCTTTTCTCTATCTTTTATGTCCTTTGCATGGTTTAGCAATGTCCTTTTTTGTATAAACACAGAAAGACAGTTACTGCTATGCTTTTGTAACTTGGGAGTCAATTGACTCGGAATAATGTTTACTCCTGGGTATCCGTCATATTTACTTGAGTTAAGCTTCAGTTGCTCTTACTTCCTAACACCCCCAAAAGGAGGGTCCCAGCAAGGGACTGGGATGGAACCCGGGCAAGCTGTAAGCTACCCTGGCATCAAAAAGGGATGGGCTAAGCACATAAGAAGTATAAGTTAAGAGCACGGTCATGGAACAAACTCTATCGTGACCCAAAAAGGAATAATTGAATAAGGACCCTGCTAGGGTTAAGAAAGACTATATAGAGAGATGCCCATAGGAAAAGCTACCCTTTAAGCTTAATATCTCTCTTACTGTGTTCATACAGAATGACTAGAAATATTAGAAGTAAATTTAATATGATCATTTAAAAGGATTACTAGCTAAGAAAAGGTGAAAGCAATAGTCCTTAGATGGAATTCCACCCTTGAGCGGATCTCCTAGTAACCTGGAGTGCTGACCCCGCAGATGAGATTTTTGTCCTTGAGTTAATCTCCTAGAAGAACTTCCCCTGAAGGAGGGACTTTTACATCTGTTTATTGTTATGACAATGTTCAGCCCCACCTATGTGTACCCCCACTCTTCATTATTTCTATATAACTAACACTGTAAGACTTGAATAAACCCAATCAGCCTGTGGCCCGGTTCCTTCATTTGTCCATCGCTGTTGACTGGCCAGGGGAACTGAAGACACCCACACGTTGAACTCACACCTTCTATTCCTCATATTCTGCACCACAATTGATGGCTAAACCGTGCTGCAGTCTCCAGGGAAAGACCCAAGTTGTAGTCATCATTTTATATCGTGCAGTTATTATTATTTTCTTGTGTCTCAGTTGTGGTCAGTAAATACCACACTGAGTAGTGCTCCCTCCCACGCATTTTGATGTCTTGGGTTCCAGGGATCCGGCCTGGGGCTCTACACATGCCCTGCACTTGCTCTTCCACAAAGCTACACTCGGTCTCACCTCGTATTTTGTATTTCTGATTCTCCTTCCTATCTTCTCTGACTTACAATCCACTGCTAATTTATGGACAATGAAATAACGAGATGATGAAACACAAAACCTAAAAATGCTACTGGAACCAAAGGTACGGATGGGAGGAACTGCCCAGAACAGCCAGAGCTATCTGGACCTTGGTCAGAGAGAAATTACAAAATCAAAATAAAATCAGACTCAGATAGTACGCTGCCTTTCATCGCGGCAAACATGGGTTACACGTGCATGGTTAACCTCCAGATGCCTGACCGCAAACCTATTGAAAGTGAAGGATATTTTACATCCCCAAGTTTACCTCCAGGTCTTCGGTGTTGTTTTGAGGTCACACCAGCAGTGCTCAGAGCTTACTCCTGGCTTTGCACTCAGGAATCACTCCTGAAAGCTCAGGGGACCATTTGGGGTGCTAGGGACTGGACCCAGGTTGACTGCGTGCAAGGCAAGAGAGCCCTGTCTGCTGTACTATTGCTCCAGCCCGAGGCCTCACTTCAATGGAATCTTAATCACAACAAGTCATTTGTTGTTCACATCAACCACCAGGAGTGAACCATGAGCACAGAACCAGGATTTAGCCCTAAGCACTGCCAGGTATGGGCACCAAAGAAAAAAAGTCCTTGTGATGTATTAAGAGATGTGACTTGTACACACAGCCCAAAATGTATGTGTCTTCTCTATTTCTTTAAAAAAAAAAAGGGGGGGGGCGGTGGGCCAGAGAGATCTAGCTGCCCCGGGTTCCATTCGAGGCCCCATATCACTTATCAACAGGATTGGATTTCGGCCAGTGAATCAGGCAGTTCTTCAGACCTTCCGATATTTAGCTTGTTCTCCACAGGATTCCTCTGGGGTCCAGTACTGGGGCCCAAGTACCTCTTCCTTCCCAGGACCAGTTAAGAAGCTGTTTCACTTTCATGAGGAGCAAGGGCTTCTGGGAGAGTTGTACCGCAGGGCCCCTGGAAATGAAACCTGGAACAGAAGCACAATACAGCTGAGTTCCGTGCGGAGTGAATGTTATTACTTCAGCAAGACACACGTGTCTTAGTGACACCACAGGAAATCCAAACCCACAAACGTGGTGTTGTTAATATTTTTGCCTAGTTGCAGGATTGGAAACCTTTTTTTTTTTTTTTAATGCCAGGAGCCATCTGGACATCATTCATGGGTTATAAATTGCAGGCAGCTGAGCTGCAGGCAGCCAATGAGAAACACACTCGTCTGTCCCATCACGCACCACACAATTTTGGCTGGTGGACCAGATGCTTCCACCTCTGCTTGGGTCCGACAACTCAAGATATGGATACTTCGCCATGGATTGGCCATTATGAAAGGGAACTTCCAAAAGAAATTGCCTGGAATTTATGTGCAATACATTAGAACTTTATTTTAAGGGATGAAGGGAGACAGAACCATCAATATGTTTTGTGACTGTATAGACAAACTCGTGATTGGAATTCGAAGTTTAAAGAAAGAACTCTATACACTACATTGAAAGGGAGGGTTACAGGGGAGGGTTACAGGGAGGGTTTCAGGGGAGGGTTATAGGGAAGGGTAAAGGGGAGGGGGAAGGCAGAGTCTCCTGCCCCCGTGCCTGGCTGTCCTCGCCAGGGCCTCTTGAAGGGCGGCGGGTTGAGTTTCCCTCCCTGCCCTGAGCAGAGCTCTGGCAGCCGAAGACCTCCAGAACCAGCCACAACCATGCTGAGACCACTCTCCACACGCATGAAGGTACCCGCAGAGGAACAAAGGCATGCGGGTCCCGGGGCTGAGATCTCCAAGCCTGCTCAGATCAGGGCTGAGCATCCTCCACCCAGATCCTCCATTTTCCAGTAGGCAGGGGTCACACCTACCAACTGGCCTCCTGGCCCCGTGTAATCCCATCAACGGCCAAGACCCAGAGACTATAAATCTTAACTCCTGGAAGCATCTTTTTATCTCATTCCTACTTTGGACAACCTGGCAGGCTACCGAGTGTAAACTGCCCTCACAGCAGAGTCTGGAAAACTCCCCGTGGCGTACCCAATATGCCAAATACCAGTAACAATGATGGGTCTCATTCTTCTAAGCCTGAAAGAGCCTTGAATATGGCACTTTTTAAAAATCTCAGGGCGGGGCTGGAGTGATAGCACAGCAGGTAAGGCGTTTGCCTTGCACGCGGCCAATCCAGGTTCGATTCCCAGCATCCCATATGGTCCCCCGAGCACCGCCAGGAGTAATTCCTGAGTGCAGAGCCAGGAGTAGCCCCTGTGCATTGCCGGGTGTGACCCAAAAATAAATTTAAAAAAATAAAATAAAATAAAAATCTCAGGGATAGGACGAAGGAGACGTTACTGGGGCCTGCTCGAGGCAATCGAGGAACAACAGGATGATCGTGATCGTGATCATGAAAGGGGAGGGTTATAGGGGGAGGGTTGTGGGGGATTATAGGGATAAGTTTGAGGGAGATGGCTATAGGGGGAAGATTTGGGGGGAAGGTTAAAGGAGAGGGTTATAGGGGAAGGTAAAAGGGAGGGTTACAGGGGAGGGGCTGGAGCGATAGCACAGCGGGTGGGGGTGGGACACTGGTGGAGGGATGGGTACTGGATCATTGTATAACTGAAACCCAGCACAAAAATTTGTAAGCCTACAACTGTACCTCATGGTGTTTCACTAATAAAAATTTCTAAAAAATAAAATAAATCTTTAATACAGAAACTTGTAAACTTTTTTACCTCAATAAAATAATGTTACGGCTAAAAAAAACAAAACGGAATGATGGGTCCGAGAGATAATGCTGTCAGTAAGGTGCTTGCCTTAAATGAAGCCTATCCTGGTTTTCCATCACTGCCAGGAGTGATCCCTGAGCACAGAGTCAGGAAGTAAAGTCCTTAGCAATGCCGGATGTGGTTCAAAAAATAAACAAACAAACACAAAAAAGGAATGAAACAATCCCTGTGTCAGGAGGGTCTCGGCCCCTGCTAACCCAGGGACGTCTCAGAGCAGAGCAGCTGCCTTGCAGGACACCAGGCCCAGAGCTCCAGTGACTCAACTGTTTGGCATCCCCAAGGCCACAACGAGAGTGTGTGATTACTAAGGCACCACATCCAGGTGTGGGACCCCAAGAAGCACCACCCCCAACCCCCCGCCCCTCGCGCGAGGGATGAGGGAAACTGAAAAAGAGATAAAAATCGGTCAGTGGTTGGAAGCTTGCGACAGCTATTGGGGGCGAAGGGCAGTTAAGACAGAGAAGGGACCAGTATGACAATAATAGTTGGAAAACGGTCACATTGGACAGGAACTGAGTGTTGAAAGGAAGTAAGATGTTGAAAGTAGATATGATAACCTTTCATAACTGTCTTGCAAACCATAATGCCCAAAAGGAGAGAGAGAGAGAGAGAGAGAGAGAGAGAGAGAGAGAGAGAGAGAGAGAGAGAGAGAGAGAGAAAGAAAAGAGAGCCTGAGACAGAAAGAGAGGGGTGGGGCTGGAGTGATAGCACAGCAGGTAGGGCATTTGCCTTGCATGCAGCCGACCCGGGTTCCATTCCCAGAATCCCATATGGTCCCCCGAACGCCGCCAGGAGTAATTCCTGAGTGCAGAGCCAGGAGTAACCCCTGTGCATTGCCAGGTGTGACCCAAAAAGCAAAAAAAAAAAAAAGGAGAAAAGAAAAGAAAGGGATGGGAATAGGGGAGGGGGAGGGCGATGGGGAGGAGGAGGAGGAGGAGGAGGAGGAGCAAGAGAAGGAGGAGAAATGCTTGCCATAGAGGCCAGGGAAGGGGCATGGGAAGGAAACTGGGGACATTGGTCATTGGTGGTGAGAATGTACACTGGTGAAGGGACAGGTGTTGGAACATTATGTGACTGAAACCCAATCATGAACAACTTTGTAACTGTGTATCTCACAGTGATTCAATTAAAAAATAAATCTGCTTGAATTAGAGAGAGAGAGAGAGGGAGGGAGAGAGAGAGAGAGAGAGAGAGAGAGAGAGAGAGAGAACTGAATGATGCAGGCCAGATTCCTAAACCGGAAGCAGAGCTTCAGAGACCCAATGTGTCGTGGGCATCGGGCATTGCCTCTCTCCGTGGTTGCCAAGGCAACAGGCCCTTGTCTGCACTGCCAGCTGGCCTCGCTCCACCTTCCACTTCCCTGGCAGTGCTGGGTCTGTCCAACCCTTCCAGTTTCGCCTGAACCCCACCATGCTCCCAGTCCTCTCATGCCCTCCATTTTCTTTCCCGCTTTCTCTTAGGCTGACCTAGACTCCACATTTGCTTCTGCCCACTGCAGCCTAGAACTGGGCTAAATTCAGGCCAACTCCTGAAGTGCCCATGACTCGGCCAGGAGGACGCAAGGATCAATCTGGACACTCAAGTGTTGCGCATCTACTGAGGTGAAGAATTGCCAGTGATTTTCAATCAAATTCCAAGAATTTCCAAGAATTTTCACTTTTAGTTTTGGTTTGAGGGCCACCTGGCAGTGCTCAGGGCTCACTCCTGGCTCTATGCTCAGATATCAATCCTGGCAGTCTCAGGGGATCCTAGGGGATGCTGGAGCTTGAACCTGGGTCGGCTGTAAGCAAGGCAAGGCAAGCACCCTACCTACTGCACTATCGCTCCGACCCCGAGCTTTCACTTTTATGGAACTCTGATCACAACGAGCCGTCTGTTGTTCTCAGCCACTATGTGCAGCCCCTTACTGCAGCGGTGTTCCAACCCCAATAATCTCTTAGTAGAATATCTTTAAAATTATAGGGAAATTGAAAAAACGATGAAGCCTCTCGCATGGTATTTTGCTGTGGGGATGTTAATCAGGTAATCCACAGAAGATCTTCAAACACAAAAACATGACAGCTGTCTAAATATTTGTGGGAACACACAATGGAACGACAAGTCCAAAGGGGGGGGGGGGGGAAGAGACAGCAGGAAGGGCCCACCCCTACAAGGGCACTGATATCTGGTGTGAATGGCGGATCAATCGATGACATCACATCAGACCAGACAGGGGTTGGTCTTTAAAGCCTAACGAGGGTTGTATTTTTTTTTCTTTTCTTTTTTTGCTTTTTGGGTCACACCTGGTGATGCACACGTTTACTCCTGGCTCATGCACTCAGGAATTACTCCTGGCAGTGCTCAGGGGACCATATGGGATGCTGGGAATTGAACCAGGTTGGCGGCGTGCAAGGCAAACGCCCTGCCCGCTGTGCTATGACTCCAGCCCAATGGTTGCATTTTAAAACGTCCTCTTTTTGTTTCCAATCCACTTTAACCATCTTGATGAAAATAATGTGAAAAACTGTGGAAGGGGTACAAGAACATGGGGAGAGAGCTGGGCACTCTGCATGCTTTCGTTCGGGTCTGATACCCAGTAGTGGGTGGTCCCCCCACACTGCCAGGCGTGGCTCAAAACTGAAAAAAAAAAGTGTGACCAACCCCCCCTCTTCTTCCAATCACCACATCCTTTACCTCTGCCCTTCCTGGTTACTGTGTTTATTCCCACAGACGTTCAGGCCACTTTTAGAGCCTAATGCAGTTCTCCAACTTGATTTAAAATGAAGTAATAAACTGCGAGAAATACAGCTGCTAACCGAGGGCGATTTCTAAAATGAGTTGAACACTTTGGGAAGACAAAATGACTCACTAAAAATAATTCTGTTAAATGAAGTGTAGGTGGAAAGACTAGCCGGCCTCACAAGGTGCTTTGCTTAAGTTTTTTTGCTCCAGTTGAAAAGAAATGAAAAAGAAGGGGCCAGGGAGAACACGGCGCATGTGCCAGGCCCAGGTTTGGTCCCCAGCACCAGCCTGGTGTATTGCTGGTCCACCAGGGTGGCCTCAGTGATGCCCACCAGCCCTGGGCCCATGCAACACCGCATCCTTGGGACCCAGCTTTGAACCCCATACCACTGGACAGGTAACCAGGAGTAGGCCCTGGGACCCCTGAAAAAAGGGGGGGGGGGTCTATTCCTCTTCAAAAACAGAAAGGTACCGAGAGTATCTCGC